TTTATTAAAATAAAACCATTTAAACTGGGTGTTCGGATTTATATGTCACTTAGTATATATGACTCTAGGTCAGTCAAATGAGATCATTCATTTTTGTCATTGCAGTACATAATTCCATTTAATAATATAAGGGCCACGGCTCGAGTTAAAGCCTCTATTTCCTGAATTATCGTAGTTTTCAACCTTAAGTGTAAAATTACAAATTTAGTGTTTATCGTTATAAATAGGATGTCACAATTTCATGCTCACACTGAGATGAAAAATTAGCGTGAAATGTGAGTTGGATATTAACATCTTGGCATTTTTCTCGTGAATATAGACTATATTTCAAATGTCGGATTCAAAGTAGATGTAGTTGTTAATTTCATACAATGAGAGCTTGCAATATGTAGAATCAAACATATGTGATTGGTTGATGCTATATTTTTGTAATAGTTCATTATCAAAAAACAAAATCTAGAATAAAAATTCCTTTCTTTGTAATCGCCGTGCCCCGTTACAAAGTCTAGATTTATTGATGAATTTATTGTTAAATCTTATTCCTTGGATAAGAAAATAAGATCTTAATCAGTGGCATAGCTTACGTTTATATATGAGTTAATAGTATTAAATGTTTTTATTGCGGATATAATGCTTCTTTCCGCTCACGAATCATCGCAATTTCAGTGGCGTAACGTTGAACTTTTTTCTAGATACACTTCGAAATCAAAAATAAGACACAGCATTTAGTACAAAAATGGCATCTAGTAGGTCTACTCGATTTCAAAATTATATTTCAGCTTCTCCTTACTTCTGTCTAACTGTGGATGAAATTTTATCCAAACCAAATCGTTGCTACCGGAATTATGAAAAGGTGCAGAGTAACACTTGCAGAGCAAGAGTTTTTAAAATGACACGATACATCTAGAATAAGGGAACTGACATGCCTGGAGAAATGACCGTGTTTAGCAGTTTTTTACATTATTGATCATTGTAGCTAATTGAAGTTTCATATTTGACGTTCTTATTGTATTATTGTATGAATTGAAATACATATTTTATCAAAATCCGGCATTTCTCGTTCTCCACAACCGACTCAATATCCCAAGGAGCATTGGGCCAGCACAGGTGTTTCATCTATACCTCAAGCGATAATGTAGCACTCGCAGAGCTGCGTTGTACCGATATACAGACGCGGTGCCAGCATTTACTTTAAGCATCCCACAAACCGGCGCGAAATATTCGCTTTGGCTGCGAAAATTTCGCGGCGATAAATTCGCGATCAGATTAAAACGCGGCGGTTTACGGACAGGCTCAGACTTGTTCCGATTGTTCCAGCGTTTTTATCGCGGCGTATTTCAGTTCGCCTTTGACCGCGTTTTTGACGCCGTTCTTCAAAAATTCGCAATGGCAAAAACGGAATTATTGATAGAAATAGTGAAAAAGTATCCTTGTTTGTATGATTTGTCGAACGATGAATATAGGAATGTGAGAAAGAAAGACAAGATTTGGATGGAAATAGGAAAAGAATTAAATACAAATGGTATGTACCTAATATTTTTTATTAACTTGTTAAATAATTTACAGTCTACACAAATGTGAAAACGAACATTCTATATGTTGGGCATAGGCATATCAGAATTAAAATAATTTACGAATTTGTCACGAGTAGAAAATGCTAGCCTTGCTGCCCGCCGAGGATCATTTGCTATATCAGTAAAAGCTCCAAGCACGGGTTCTGGGGGATCTAAGAATTGAAAATATTTGTCATCGCCACTTTTACTTCGTAAAAAATTGTGTAAAACACATGCCGTGCGTACAATTAGAATAGTGGTATCTACTTTAGTTTCTAATGGCCTGTAAAATATTCGCCATTTTTGAGACAAAATACCAAACGCATTTTCCACGACCCTTCTAGCTCGACAAAGTCTTACATTGTATTTCTCTTTTCTGACGTCTGTTAAAGTCTGCTTATAAGGAAATGGTCTCATAAGGTATGGTTTTAAAGCAAATGCTTCATCACCAATTAAGACGTACGAGCAGATTTCATTTTGCCCAGGGAGAAATCTAGGTGCAGAGACACTCATTAAATTTTGTTCAAATCGTTTTCCCATGTTTGAGGTTTCGAAAATACCCCCATCACTATTTTTTCCGAAACCACCAATATCAACACATATAAATTTATAGTCCGGGCCAACAATGGCCATAAGTACTATTGAATATTTATGTAAATAGCACCAGTAATTGGAGCCACTGTTGTTAGGTCTCTTGATTGTTACATGTTTACCGTCCACGCTGCCAATGCAATTGGGAAATCCCCATCTATTTTCAAATTCTTCAGCACATTTTTTCCATATATTTTCTGTTGGTTCTGGTAAATATATATGCTCCATATGTCTGCATATCGCTTCACAGACTTCGGTTACGATTGCACTCACTGTTGTAAAGCCAACTCGAAAGCTATGCCCAATGGTATAGAAGGTGTCACCAGTGGCAAGGAATCTATAAAAAAAATCGTTTTTAGGTGATGAAGTAAAAAAAAGGTGGAAGAATATCAGGGACACATTTGCAAAATATATAAAATCTACCAAACCAAAGACCGGCCAAGCAGTGGGCAACATAAAAAAATGGCAGTGGGCTGACTACATGGAATTTTTCCGTCCTTTTTTGGCATTTGCCAAAACGTCGTCTAATGTGAAAGATATTGACGTCATACATTATGAAACTGCCGAATTTAACTCAAATGACTTTGAAGTTGAGTCATTAATTTTCAGATAATGATTGTAGAAGGAAGATAAACCAAAATATGTGTGTAAAAATAAAAAAAAAATTAAAAAAAAAATGTTACCTTGTTTTATAAAGTATCCTCCCGACAAGTATTTCAGTGCGGACCTGTATTTGATCGTGCGGTCTTGGAGCAGCATGCCCTCACCTGTGAGGTCTTAAGTCACCTGATTCACGAGCCCTTTGTACTACATTAACAAAGGCACGAGGGGTTGGTTGCACTCGATTGGGAAACCGATTCGCATAAATCCGTGATGCATCCGGGAGCATTTTGTAAAGACTGCCCCCCCGTAAATAAGAATCATGTCCACAAGTTCAGCATTTTCGTAAACATGTGCCATTTTTGATTTCGTTTGAACCACGCAACACACTACTATTCACTTACGCGTTATCGACTGACGAAAAACATCGTGATAAACGTTTCAAATTCTTTCGCTTTTTTGTTTCCGATGCGATGAACCGGTCAGGCGGATTATATCCGTTGTCGCCAAACACGAGCATATAATAGGCAGGGCGGTACTCAAACTTCCAAAGGGCTATAACTTTGTTACTTTAATTTTACCAGAAAAATGGTAAAGGAAAAAACATTTCTTTTGATCAGATCTACTCACTGTTAAAATAAATGACTCAACTTCGAAGTCACCCTGTATATCAGGAAAGGGCTGGAAATGTAGAAACCGAAAATTTGGAAGACCGCGGCCATGGAGAAGATGAAAATGCTGATGTAGATGCAGAAGATGCACAGAACGCCTCGGCAACACAGACAGCACCACCTTCTTCATTGAACACTACAGCAGTGACTACTCCAGGGCACACCTTTCCGCAGACTGCAACTACACCAAACTATAAAACGAGCAGAAAACGCTATGAACCACCATCTTCGTCTGTACAACAGCTCATTAATTATTTTGAAGGTAAAAAACCTAAAAAAGAGAACGAGGCCATTGATTCACTTTTCTTGGCACATGCACAGACTGTGAAAACACTTCCCTTAAAGCGTCAAGCCCGACTAAAACTAAAAATAGCCGAATTAATAGCGCACGAAGAATTTGAACATATTGAAGAAATGTCTTCAGCGTCTACCCAGAATTCTGCAAGTATGTATGATAGTAGTATGTCGTCCTTCCCAAGCGGCACTGGGTTTACTCCAATAATATACCCAACAGAGGAGGCAAATTCTGCCTCGAATTATTTAGCAACATTTAATCCTAGTGGCAACATGTAGTCCAATTATTACAATAAAATATTTATTTCACGATCCCTGAAGTTTTCGTATTCGATAAGCCTACTAATTTTAATACATATAATTTTTTTACCTGAGTGTAATAGCAAGTCGTTCTTCTGGCGAAATAGCTTCACGATAATTTGTGACAGATTTTCGTATTTCATCTTTCACCAAGTTCAATATTTCATCGAAACACTCTGGAGTCATTCTAAAATATACGTAAAAGCGCTGTTCATCCAGCCGAAGTTGTGGCATCAAGGTATGGTATTCCCCAAATTTATTTCGTTCCAAGTTAATATCATGTACCCACTTCCTTCGTTTCCTAAACAAAATTGAAAATATTTGTTTTATGTACTTCGTTAAACTTAATACATACCCAACTACCAAATGGCGTTAAATAAACATAACTTACCGTGCATTTTGTTCCTCTTCTAAAGCAAGAAATAGAAGTGCCTCCTCTTCTTCTGAAGACGAGCTCATTGCAAAAGGCAAAAATAAAATGTACGCTACCTGTCGAAACCTTCACGTTCGCGGAGCGAATAAGACGCTTTGGTATGAATAAACAGGCGAAACAGATTGCGAATTTCGCTCTGAATTTCGTTGCGAATACTTCGCCGCGATTATTTCGCGCCGGTTTGAGGGATCCTTACTTTACACGCTAACAAGAGATGCATAAGCGTATCCGCCACCTGTCGACATGTTCTGCAGTTGGCATGCACACCAGTAACCCTGCTATGGTATATCAAGGTACTAAAGACACCATCTTGACAAGCCATAACAAAACCCTCAGTCTCAGACTTTAACCCACGATGTGTCTATAGAAGGTTCCATGTATAGGCTTATCTTTACGAAGCCTTAATAAGTAATTTGCTTATTATTATTATTTTTATCAAGCTCATCAGAAGCTTCTTCGCGGCAGAGTGGATATAAAAGATTCTCATGACTAAAAGGCAGCTCCTTTTATCCTTGGATGCGTTACCTGAAGCCCCGCCTAGGCGCGCGCCACTGCCTCGGCGCCGTTCTCGCGCATCCTCAACACAGACGCATTTCGGCCCTGTCCCGATCCCGACTTCAGTCTCCTCGACCCGCTTTTGTACTCTACACCCGCGTCGTTGATGTTCATCTGAACAAAAAATCGATCCAAGCCCTTCCTACTATTCGACCGGTCCCTTTAACACCACAAAATGTACCGGTTCGAACATCTTGTTGGGTCCCTTTTCATCGCTATGCTTTGCATCGAAAGTGGTAAGCGAGTAAATTTGAAATCCTACACAAAAATCATCTATTTACCCTAACATTCAATAACAAGGTTTCTTTGTGCATCAGAAACATGTTTCAAAAAAACTAGATCATTTCTAATATTAATCAGTGTGGTTAAAGCTTTCATTTGACATAACTGGTGAGCTTAAATGCCCACACCTTGACATCTCAATGAGATGAAGTTATGTAAAGCCTCAAAATCGATATTGCTCTGGGTACCACTTTTCAATTTGATTTGACCCAATATTTTAAACTAGACCAAGTAGTCAAGCTTTGAAGAGTAATTGGATTAACAGGCCAGGCGTATCATTTTTATTGCTACTATATTCCACGCGAATCAACTAATCAGCAATTTTAATGAATGCTGCGTCTGATATCGATAAAAAATGAATGTCATCTACTCTCTGCAGTATTATTTTAAGCATTTTGTACATATGCGTCTGTATACCTACAACACTATGCACGAGGTTTATTTTTAAAATGAAGCGTCTAAGTTTAATGTTTACGTATTTCGAATTAGAATATGTGCATATTAAATCACTAGACAAACTGGTTACTTTTTATGTCTCCGTGATCATTGTCAATGTTTTGGTGCACATTTTTATGTTTTGCTGTGACGTAACACTCTGTATGTTGTCGCAGGTTGTTGTGTGCTTATTTCAAGTACAAAATAATGTATGTGCCAAAAATGAGCAATCAAGTCTCGTGCGACATTGCGCAGATGCTTTATTTGTGCAAATCAATAGTTCGTGCCAGTGAGGGTGGACCTCCTGAAATTCTCTTGGAAGATCGGATGCTTATTTACCTAGAATCGTCCTTGGCTTATCCCTTTTAAGTCATCTGTAATTTTCATGTATTACATGACACCTTATCAACAGGCATTTGTTCTAATACTTACTTACTTCCAGGGTTGCCAGTCATTACTTATTTTCGGAAATTATAAACGCGAGGGCGTTGAATAGCATTTGTATGTACTTTCTACACCTGATAAGCTGTGTAGTGGTCTGAAATAAGACTAATTTTGATTAAATTATGACGATGATTTTTATTAGAAACTAGATAGCATAACTATAACGCCACCAACAACTTTTGACTTTCTCTCACTCTCTCTTCATTGTAACTTTATATAACTTGCAGGGATGAATTTTTTGTTAGATCAATAAGTTCTTATTTTTGTTTTGTCATCTCTGTAAGTAATATTGTTTGTTTGTTTGTTTAAGATTTATTTAGCATGATTGCTAGAATTACATTCTTCTAAAAAACTAAACAATTACATAACATACAGACATTCAGAAAAAAAATTGCATCTCTAAGAATTTTCATTGTCCATGAAATATTCCTTTAATTTCTTTTTAAATATCTTTCAATTACAAGTAGACTTTATATCATTATTTAGTTCATTAAATTCAAGTAATCTATATTTCCTCTTGTATAATAATTGTGGTAATGATTATTCAATTCTATGTACTGTTCTAAATGTTCTGGCAAAAGATGATTTTTTATTTTAAATATAAAAATAAGAACCAAATATGATATGAAATTTTTTATATTCAAACACTGCAATTTTTGTAACATAGATTTTATTTTGGTTTACTTATTTTTATTCAATATTATTCTTATAGCTTTATTTTGCAAGACTTGTAATTTTGAGAATACCGCTTCATTGGCAGTGAACAAGATAGTTGAACAATATAGTAAATGCGGTAGAATAATTGTTCTATGAACTATTTTCTTGGAATAGGTACCAACAGTATGAGAAGCCCTATAAAAGTAATTTGTTTTTTTGGCAATTTTTGAAATAATGTATTCATATTGATCCTCAAACTTTAGTTTACTATCAATATACGAGTATATACCTAAATATTTAACTGATTCAACATTTTCAATTATCTCTCCATTTGTCCTAACTGTGGTAGTATTTTCATTTAGGTATTTCCCTATTAGCATAAATTTCGTTTTAGAAGTATTCACATTTAACCAAATTACGAGAATTTAGCATTTTTAAAGCAGTGTCTATATTTTCATCTGATATGTATATTAATGTATCATCTGCAAATAAAATATATTAAGTTACATTTAAACCAACTAGAGAAAGAACGAAAATTATTGGTGGTGCTACATTTATGATCGCCAGTATGTATTTATTTATTATTGTAAAACATTATTTCAAATTAATATTTAGCACTGCCAGAATCTTCTCGCCTTCCATATCTTTAGGCAAACTCTTTGAACAGGACACCTCTCTATAAATTTCCATCTCCCGAAATTGTTTATATAACGGTTTAGAAGAAAAAGTTTCATAAAAAAATATAGGGTCCTTTTTATGTTAGTTTTTTTTAATACAGGATGCCCCTCTAGGGAACTATTCATTCCACTGACACCCTGTATACAAAAAAGACATCGATTGGAAAATTTTGTATTGGACTCTATAAGTTTTGTATAAAATATCGTTCTCTAAACGCTCATACAAAAATGGAGTTAAGTAGGTTGATTCTGTACTTCCTGCGTAACGCTGTCATCAGTTCATAAAGGACTATGTTCGGCACATGTTAGCCCTTCTGAAATATACAACAAGAAATTAAATTACAATTAAAATTTGCATAGGTGTATAGCAATTTTGGGGCTTCTAAGGAAAAATACGCTACCCGCCGCTTTCACAGAACGTTATCCCTTGCCGATGAATGACCCTCCCCCTTTTCACTGAGAAAAATTCCTGCGGGCGCACATGATCGTTGCTATGACGAATCCCGCGTCTATAACGATATATTCTCTTCTCTTTCACAGCCCAAATCGACTGTTGGAGATATTTCTAAGTTTAAAGGGTAAATGGGATTGGAGACATAAAAAATGGAGTTTGAGCGATTTCTATTTTTTCGTTTTTTGCTCCGTAGTTCCGCCGTTACTGGACCGTTACAAAGCTTTTTCGTCATTGGCATAGTAGTAACTTTGCGTGAAAATTTCATCCAAACCCCAGTGGAACTTTCCAAGTTACACACGGGCTAAGGGTTAACCTAATTTTTCGCGATTGCAGTACTTCTTCGCCATGCGAAGTAAAAAGTTTGAGAGAACAATTCATAGCTGGTCACCTTGTTTAAAGCGTCTAACAGAAGTTCTGGCAGTGCTGAATATTACTTAATGTTTTACAAAGAATATATTAAAATCATCTAACAAAGTTTAAGTGAAGCTAGCCTTATTTTTACTTAAACTTAACCTTTCTGACTTGGAACCAGCAAATGTGAACACTTATACAGGATGCGGCAGAGAAAAAAATCATAAAATAGTTAATTTTTACTCGAAAGCAAATTTATTGATGGAATCAGGTTCACAAGGAAATAGCATTTGAGACCAAGTGTGGAAAATCACATCAGGCATGTGGTGGCCGAAATCGTTGATGCAGTGCTGGAGGCGTTCTTGGAAGTTCGCGTAGACTCTCTCCAACATCGCTCTCTCAACTTGGGCGACTTCCACGCGAATTTCGCCCTTCAATTCGTCTAGAGTTCGAGGCTTGTTCGCGTATACTCTAGCCTTGAGGTGACCCCATAAGAAAAAATCGCATATGGATAAATCTGGGGACCGAGGAGGCAAATGAACATCGCCAAACCTGGAAATAAGGTGACCAGGGAAGAGAGAGCGAATTACGTCCATGGACGCTCGGGCTGTGTGGGCGGTCGCCCCATCCTGCTGGAACCACACACGTCGTAATTCAGCGAGAAAGAAGTTGGTGATCATGTCGACGTGGCGCTCTGAGTTCACGGTAACATCACGACCATTACCGTCTTCGAAGAAGTAAGGGCCAATGATGCAAGTTTGCGATACAGCGCACCAAACTACTTTTGGGCTGTGCAGCGGTCTTTCGTGTAACTGTTGCGGAGTTTCATTAGCCCAATAACGACAATTCTGCTGGTTAACCATGCTGTTTAGGTGAAAGCGGGCTTCGTCACTCATAGGTGAAAACGCGGTGCTCCACCGTCAAAGGCTCCATAACGACAACTGGTAAAATAATGCTAGGATCTCACGAGTCAAACGGCACCCTCCCCACCTCTCTCGTAGACGAAGGCATAGAGTACTACCCATTCCAAAAACGTCCGTCCTCTCTGCCGCACCCTGTATTTCAAGTAATATCTAGCTACCCTGGGATCTTGACCTATACAGACAATAAAACGTTTAATTCTGCTTAAGTTTTTGGTATTTTTGTATATTTCTGGAATGACATAATGTTACTGGTTTGGACTCAACTGGCAAGAATTCAGAAAGTAAGTGACTTTATAATGCAAAAATATTGCTTGAAGTTCAAGCTTTTTACGTCTAATAAATATAATTTTTCGCCGTTATCAAATGCATTTTTAAAAATCAGCTTTTATTTATCTGTTCATAAAATCAACTAAAAATTTAAAAATATTTTTTTCTGATTGGAAATATTTAAACAATATTGAAGCTTCTTCATCTCATGTTTTCAAATAAAACCATGTTACACCTTTTTCCATCCCGCTGTCAAAACGTGACACGCTTTCATTTAGAAACTAGAGATGAAGGAGCTTCATTATTTTTTAAATATTTTCGAATGGACAAAATATTTTTTAATGTTTAGGTCATTATATGAACAACTAAATAAAAGCTTTTTCCTATTTAATTTAATTTGTACTTTTTAGTAGCATTGTCAAATAACTAGTTTGGTTTTTGCGGCGGCCGTCATATTGAATTTAGAATGACGTCACTATGCTTATTGTTTTTCTTTCATCGAACCCTTTCTTTTGATACCCCCGTCGTTGAGGTGACTATGAAATATGTAAACCGTCATATTGCGACGTCGCTTTGTTGAGTTTCTTTTCAAATAAACAAAGTCGGTGCATAGATATGTCGCCATATTCAAGTTCCCAAGTATAACATACTAATGAAAAATAGGTATAAAAAAAGCTTGTGATAAAAGAACTCTTTGATGCTGGGCTTCTCCTTGCCAAACTTGACAAAGAAAATATTTGGACTGGTAAAATGGAAGTGTTTTAAAATTGGTTCATATTGGACATTTGAACATCCAGTAGGTGTAAAAAAGAAAACACGATTTTTTTCATGGCACGTTCATTTGCGTACGGCATTCGAAAGCGAAGCGTATTTGAAATTGGGATCTTTTCGAAGAATTTTTTTGGATTGGAATGTATCGTACCGGCAAATGAATTTTCTGTACTTTTTGATCAGAAAAATAATATTGAAATTAAAGAAATGCTGGAGGTGCTAAACCAAAAGAATACGAGTATTTCAAACCAAAATTTGGACAACTTTGAAATACGATTTCAAAATTCGCATTTTTCATTTCCGATTTTTTTACTTAAAAATATAGCCTAAAGCGTGTTTATTCCATTTTGAAATGCTACTTTAAAACTCCTGATCTATTTTAAACACAATGTATACTATATTTTGGAATAAAAACATCGGAAACAAAGTAATGCGACGTTGCCCAAATTTGGGTTTGAAATGTTTGCTTTCAGTTTAGCAGGTTAGGATTTTTTATATATAATTCAAATTAGGTTTTTCATCATGTACGTAAATTTTATGCTAACAAAGTGAAAGAAATTACTAATATTAACTTTGTAAAATTCCGAGAAGCTCTTTTACTGCAAGATATGACTGAAGCGTTTGTTAATGTTGATAGCTACTATACAAGCCTATTGGATAATGTTGAAGTTTGCATAAAAAAAGCTACAGTCAAGACAACAATTTATAAAAGGAAAAATCCAACACCTTGGTTCTTACAGACGTTCAAGGATTCTAAATTAAAAAGAGACTAACCATAAAAATTTTATGATTACTGCAAGTGAAAATGATTGGCTAGAATACACAAGATCGAGAAACCAATCTATAGCAGTTCTACGAGATGAAAAGAAAAAATATTACAATGCCAAAATTGATCAGAGTAAAAATAATAGCAAACATATGTGGAAAACATTGAAAAACATTGTTTCTTCTATTAGAAAAAGAACATTGAAAGTGTCAACGACATTGTTAAATCAATTATTGACGGGGATCCCAACGAATGTCCCATTAGCTCAGATTATAATGCATCATTTAGTGAGTTTAGAACAATAAACGTTAATCGTCTCAAGAAGATTATATCAAAAATTAAATCAAATCAAAATAAGAGTGAGATTTTGTCTAAAAGTGGGCTTAATGAATGTTTTGATATTATCGGAGCAATAATATTAATCCTGATAAATTACTGTTTAAAATATGGCAAATTTCCAACAAAACTGAATTGTTCTACCATAACTCCTGTTTCTAAAGTTAAGAATTCTGAATTGTACACCAATATGCGACCAATTAATGTTCTGCCAGATGTTGAAAAAGTTTTTGAAGAAATTATTTACGAACAGATCATCGAATTTATGTGTTTTTTGGACTTCAAAAGGGCGTTTGAGACTATTGACAGGGATAAAGGATCTGTATTCAAAATTCTACAAAACTATTCAATTGAAGAAGTCCAAAAACCAAAATCACATTATCAAGATCAAAAAATATTTCTGTTGGTATACCACAAGGTAGTAAACCAGGTGCACTACTATTTATTTTATACATTATTGACATTTGTAATAAGTATTTTAGATTATTGTAAACTTCAGATATTTGCAGATGATACATTAATATACATATCAGATGAAAATATAGGCACTGCTTTAAAAATGCTAAATTCTGATTTGGCAAAAATCGTAATTTGGCTAAATGTGAATTAACTAAAATTGAATACTTCTAAAACGAAATTTATGCTAATAGGGAAATACCTAAATGAAAATACTACCACCGTTAGGATAAATGGAGAAATAATTGAAAATGTTGAATCAATTAAATATTTATATAATATATATATATATTTATATAATATATTTATATATTATATTATATATATAATATTTATATAAATATATATATTGATAGTTAGCTATAGTTTGAGGATCACTATGAATACATTATTTCAAAAATCGCCAAAAAAACAAATTACTTTTATAGGGCTTCTCATAGTCTTGGTACCTATTCCAAGAAAATAGTTTATAATACAATTATTCTACCGCATTTACTATATTGTTCAACTATCTTGTTCACTGCCAATGAAGTTGTATTTTCAAAATTACAACTCTTGCAAAATAAAGCTATGAGAATAATATTGAATAAAAATAAATACACGAAAATAGAATCTATGTTACAAGAATGGCAGTGGTTGAATATAAAAAATATATATAATATTTGGTTCTTATTTTTATATTTAAAATAAAAAATCATCTTTTGCCAGAACATTTAGAACACTACATAGAATTGAATAATCATTACCACAATTATTATACAAGAGGAAATATAGATTTTCATTTACAAAATTGCAATAGTAATTTAACTAGCAAATCAATATTTCAGGAAATATTACTTGAATTTAATAAAGTAAATAATGATATAAAGTCTACTTGTAAAATATTTAAAAGAAAATTAAATTAATATTTCATGGACAATGAAAATTCATATAGATGCAAATTTTGTTTTTTTTCTAAGTATGTGTATGTTATGTAATTGTTTAGTTTTTTAGAACAATGTAATTGTAGCTATCAGGCTAAATAAATCTTAAACAAACAAGCAAATAAAAAAAATGAAGAATATTTTCTATATACTATAATAATTTTCAATTTGAAAAAAATCGTCGAAGCCCGTAACTAAGTAAATGAACGAGACGGGGAAAAAATCGTGTTTCCTCTTTTACACCTACTAGATGTTCGAACAGGCCCAATATGAACGAATTTTTAAACTTTACTTTTTTTCGTTGTTCACTTCACTCAGAGACTTGACGTTTAAAAAAAATCCAGACGTTTCTATAGTTTTCTTGTACTATTTTTCTAGATTTTTGATTTTTATAGGTGCTGCAATATCATGCTACGAATGCAACAGCGCGATGGACAAGCGATGTCTAGGGGATGAAAACAACAAGTTAACGAACGACCTGAAGAAGGACTGTTCGGCGAGACAAACTCCAGATAAGAAACCTTACACTTTGTGCAGGAAAATCAAACAAGTCATCGATTTTGAAGTCAATGGACGTGAGTAAACATTATTTTAGATATGTTTCTTCTCTGAAATAAAAAATACGGCTATTAATATTATTTATCAAAATGAGGAAATGAAAATTTCGCACGAATGTCTACATTTGTTTGGCCACCAATCATTGAATTATTTTCCAAAACGTTGAATAAGCATATGTTTGAGGTGTTACGTTAATGCTGATCAGTATTTTTCTGTTTCCAGTTCAACCAGATAGCAGAATAATCCGAACTTGCGGTTACGAAGACCACCAATACGCCAACCGCTGCTACTCGAAGTCTGGCTTCGGCGGAAGACAAGAAGTATGCTCCTGTCAAACTGACAGCTGCAACGGAAGCACCGCCATATTGGCGAGCTTAGCTCTTGTTCTCGGCAGTATGATCGCTAAATTTCAGTTGTAGATAACAGCGTTTCGATAGCATCACCACTGTACATAAAACAATAACTTGTTCGAGTTTTTGAATAGAAAGTTCCAGTTCAGCCGGTATTCCTAGGCCTTCTCTCATATACATATAGATAACATCATAAGGTTGGCGATAAAATGATACGAAATAGTAAAAGCGTAGGATGGTCTCAAATGGAAACATTAAGTAGACATAGAATTATTTTACTCCAAAATTGGTACCAAAAAATAAAATATATCATGGAGAAACCTGCTATAATTCACGAAGAGAACTATTTCTGTCATATTGTTGTCAGCGTAAACTTTTGTGATTATATTTCTCTTAAAACCAGATCACAATACTTAAAGCCATCGATTTTTCAATGGTATAGATAATTTGCGTCAAAAACTAAGCAGTGACTATTGTTCTATTACGGACAATTCGTAAATGATACCTTATATTTATGTTACAGTTCTGGAAGATGTATATTTTTTATTATTCTGTTTATAATTTGCCATGACGTGATTCTAGTTCAGTTTTAAATTTCACAGGATCGAATTTGAGTTGAAATCATTCACATCTCATGCAGTTGAGGACAAAAGCTTGGTGTTTAAGGCAAATCAAATTCTTGTTAAAAAAAGGGGATTATGTGATGAGATATTTAGAATGCACATTTTCAATAAGCACAACTTAAAACGAATGCACAAAGATTTTTGATTCAAGGCAAGGAAATTATTATTAATTTTCATTGCCAAATATGGAGAAATGGTGCTTGAAACATTATTGGTTTATGTACCATGGCACTAATACCAGTCGACGTAGAAAATTCGATTTTTTGGTTTTGTAAACGATTTTTTAAGCTGGAATCTATTTGCGCATTTCTTATGTAAGGAGCTTAACATGACATAACAAAATTCTGTATAGAAAAGAGTCGATTGAGCAGCTATAAACCCAGAAGCTGAGAATAATATCTCTTTATCAGTGACTTAGTCTTTTTATAAAAAAGAAAAATTGGATCAACATGTAATCAACTGCAATGCTACGGAAAACTTTAAATCGTAAATTGATGTCTGTTAATCACCGAAGTTGATACTTTTTGTATACATTATAAAAAAATTGTTTTGATGTCATTTCGCGCACAGAAATTTGCATTTTTGATTACTTTTGAATTGTATAACATGTAACACTCATCTACTTAATTCAAGTAGTTTTTAAGTAGGAACTTGAAATCAAGTTGGTTTTGCTCAGAGTTTGGATTACACCTAGTTGTAAATTACTGCCAAATGAATGAAATTTATCCTTTATTGTTACTTTTTCGAGAATAAAGATAGTTGTCGTTTTGCTTGTTGTTTGAATCATACACAGAGATACATGCCCCAAAATTTGCGACAAATGCACAAATTCGACCAATGGGAACGCGTTTTTAAAGTATTGGATTTAATAAATATGGCCGATTTTTTAAAAAATATCTTTCAAACTATATGATTTGTGTAAGATGCGCTCCAAATTCTCATATTATCAAGAATTTCTTCATAAACCACCTGGCTTAGCTAAAACCTAGTGTAATAAAATTGAAATTTGTAGTAATGGGAGCTAAAAGATCACATGGTGTAGAATTTTCCGATTTTTTTAAATCCATAATTTGAAAAGTACACGACTTACATTTTTTTATTTATGTGGTAACTATTGTGTCTTGGCCTATTCCGTTTCCGGCTTTTATTTAACTTCTGGGAAACCTTGTATAACCAAATCACACACAAAGACAAATACCTGAGAAAATTGTAAGCAAGTTAACTAGGTGAAGATTTAAACAATGTCAATTAACCTCCATTGTAAACATATTATCCTTCTGTTGAGAATATGTAATGGGCAAAATAAGAAACAGATCCTAGTGGCAGAATCTGTTTTCTAGTTGAGTTAGCACCAGTAAAATGTAGGGATGATTTTCTATATACGCATCCAGCAGTCAAATCAGATCGTTGATGTCTGCTATTGCAGTAAAAAATTCTATTTAATGAATTCTGTGAAGACATACATTTAGTCACGTAATGCTTATTATTTAACAAACATCATCAACATATAATTTAAAAAAAAACGACAAAATGTCAACTTTCTGGCTAGATACCTCCTAGTACGAGGGATGTCTTTTAAGTTTTGCATATGGAAATAAAACAACACGGTAGGTAGTTTTAAATGACTTTATTGTTTTTCGAAATATTCTCCACGAAGATTAATACAGATCTGCATGCGCTCGAACCAATTTTCTAAGCACTTATTCCACTCGTTTGCTGGCAGATCCAAATCGGCATTTTTGAATGCGTCAACTGCTTCTTCTGATGACTGGAACCTTTGACTACGCAGTCTGTTTTTAATTTTCGGGAAAGTAAAGAAATCGTTAGGACTTAGATCGGGACTATATGGAGGATGGTCCAATAATTCCAAGTTTTCTTCCGTTAAATACTGCCTTGTTTTTTGGGGTGTATGCGAGCTTGCATTGTCTTGATGAAGGATGATTCTTCTTTCGGGGTTGATTTTTCGAAGCTCGGTGATGACTTTTGGCAAACAAATGGTGGTATACCAATCCGCAATAACAGTTCTTTGCTCATTAAGGGGAATTGTTACAATATGACCCGCTTTTGACGGAAATATCGCGACCATCTTTTTCGAAACACTTCGAGAACGGATGACTTTTGTTGGCTTTTCTTCACCTTGGAACACCCAAACAGCCGACTGTCGTTTATTTTCTGGTTCATAACAGTAAATCCACGATTCATCACGACCAACAATGCTGTACACATTTTTTGAGTTTCCGGAATTGAAACAGTCAAGCGTTTTTTGACACCAATTAACCCTGGCTGCTTTCTGCTCTTCAGTCAACAGGTGGGGTATCCAACGAGAAACTAATTTTCTTACTCCTAATTCTTCATGTAATTTTTTTTGAATTGAGGATTTTGAGATATTCAAGGACGCCTCAATCTCGCGATATGTCACATGTCTATCTTCAATGATGAGTTTGCGCACAGCATCGACGTTTTCCTGGGTGACTGACGTTTTTGGTGCACCCACCCTGGAATCGTCGCTAAGTCTCACCCATCCACGTTTGAATTCTCCATACCAACGGGAAACTGTCGACTGATGCGGCGCTTCGTTGCCGAAAACAGACAGTAACTCGGCAAGGCATTCTTGTTACGATAATTGTCTCTGGAAGTTGTAATAAATTATGGCGCGTAAATGTTCTCGGTTGAGTTCTATTTTTCTAATGACTTGGTGACACTTAAAAATTCACTGTAGTGAAACTTTGAATTTAAGTTTACTAAAGAGTGAGGTTAAGATTCAGTACTGACGTTCGATCCGCGCGGCCTACTATGTTTCCATATGCAGAACTTAAAAGACATCCCTCGTATGTTCCTTGTGTGCAGATAGTTCATATCGCGTTTGCTATCTATGAGCACTGGGAGCGTCACCAAAAGCGCCATTTATGGAGGAATGACTCAACGACACGCTCAATAGCTCAGCATGCTTTGTGGGTTGCAGAATGCCGAGCTAGTCTGTAGAGTATATCTCTGAGAAAATGTGACAGAAACAAAATCGGTTGAGTAGCAAGATCGAATCTGGTGATTGCATGTATTGGTCTGTATGTGTATAAACTGTGATATTTGCTATACGTCCTTTCAGGAGAGAGGTTATGTTCAGAGTTATAAACGCGATTTTGACCAGTCATTTTGCCTAAAAAATATTTAGAAGCATTACGGGAAATCACCACCGCGCCCGCGTTGTGTGTAATTAAAAATTTGGAATAACGCATCACACAGAAAACATTTTCGCAGCGCCTCACATCTAGGCGATGATTTGTATTTTCTACTTGACATCGCAAAATAAATTTCTATAAAAATTAAATGAATGGAAATAAGAAATAATACAAAATGTAATAACTCTATCACGTTTTAGAAGTATTCCTGTCTGTGGCATATTTCTAATATACTTCACCAACCAGGGATTTTTTTATCTCCTTTATTTTTTAAATTCAGCAAATTGGGCTATGTAATTTCCAGGATGAATAAGGAAAAGTGGGCGCAACTAATTTATAGCTTTGCATGCATCTCAAGTAAGTCTATTTAAGACAAGAAACCAACGGAATCATCATAAACACGATTATTAGCACACAAATCCTCACTATACTCTTATGCACTGCCTTTTGCATCCAGCTATAGTATACAACTTACAGCTTAGACCTCCGATAATGACATCTGTGAAGCAGGTGTTACATCACATCAGAGCCAAATATTGATAGATGAGGCGTCATGACGTTTAGGCAAAACGTACAGATACGGAACAAGTTCACATCAAGTGAATAACAGCTAGTTCTAAGTTGACACCTTGCAGAAAAACCTACATAATGTCACAAAAAGCCTATATAATATAAAAAAACGACTTAATGTCTCATTTCTAAGATACGTAACACTCCTGCCGTTGGAAATTCTCTTGATTGGAGACAGGAGACGAAATGTTACCTAGAAATTCAATTTATGCCACATTGTGAAGAAAAACTGACAATGTTAATGTTAATATGCAATTGTTTTTGGAATCGCACCTCAAATAAAGTCAGGAAAAGATAAAAACTGTTTTGTCGTCTGTCACCAAAAAAACTCTGAATTGCGAAATTTTCCATTTACTTAAATGTACAACTTTGTCCCCATTCAACCGTCTTACGGTTTCTGTGATCCCAATGGTGAGGGTCGAATTTAGAACTCCCCGTAAAATGTCGTTCAAGATGTACTTTGAGAAAATCAATTTCAGTAGCATTCTTCCGAGTACCTGTATTTCCGTGGATTATTTTTTGTTTTCTCATCTCGACATATAAAACGCACTTTATTCCAACCAAAAACTGATACTGTCACATATCAAATGAATCAACATGCACATTTACTTCTTCTTGGGAGGTGTCGGGAGTGGTGGAGGCGGCTTGGCAGCTGGTGGCTTCGCCGGTGCTACTCCTGCATCCGACTTGGCTGCTGGCAAAGACCTCTTCACGTCTTCAGCAAGCTGTTTGATCGGCCCGAAATCGATACTTCGTTTGCCTTGCTTATAGTCAGAGTACTGCTTCGTTACTTCACGTTTTCCTACGTCCACTAGCTTGATTGTGGTGTTCGTGGTTATAATCAGCACCATCTTTACATGAAAATACGTATGGTCAAGCAACATCAAAAAAGTATAAAGACAATTTGTGGGATCGTTATCAATACTCGAGGGCAGGTCATTGATATATATTAGGAATAGCAGAAGGCCAAGTACTGATCCCTGCGGTACTCCGTTGCAAATAGGCAAAAAGGTCAAAGGCGGTGCACTCAGAGCTTACAAACTGCTTCCTGTTTGACAAATACGCTAGCCCGGTATTTGTACACCCTAGTATTCTAGTTTTTTCAATACAATGAATTGAATTGAAAACTAAATCGTGATTATGTTACCTTAGTCAATTCGAATGCCGCCAAGGCATAACTGATAATTTTTTCTTTGTTCATGGCTCTGGGATGGTTGTGAAGTCACTCCTCAGTTATGCTCTTTCCGTGACATCTTGAAGGTTGCTCGATGGATGATGACCGCGACGTCACGATGTCACTCAGAGGTTGGAGTTTTTTTGACAGTTAACTGTCACGTACAGTATGTTATTATTTTTACTGTATACGCGAGGAAGTGGCGAGAGGTCTTGATCGACGCGTTCGGCATGCAGATTAAATACTCGCAATGAAACGTTGGACCGGAGCGCAACGTGCTTTTGCTATCGACGCTTACTTTAAGAGTGGTGATTCATACGCAGGTGCCCTTCGGAAATCTTGTAAACGATACAATATCAACCGAAGAAACTGTGCGTCGAGTAGGTGATTCGGTCATTGCAAATCCTCAGCTTTCTGTACGGAAGCATTCCGCTGCTTTGGGAATCCCTAGGTCAACATCGCATAATGAAGAAAAAAATGGGTTTTCATCCTTATAAAATCCAATCTGTCCATGCTTTGAAGGGAAGTGATTACGTAATACGGAAATCTTGTGCTGAACGCATGCTGAATCGTTTTCCTACGCAGCGCAGACTCGAGAACGTGGTTTTCAGTAAGGAGGCCCATTTTCACTTAGACGGTTATGTGTACAAGCAAAATTGCAGATATTGGGCACCAACGAACCCTAATAAGAAACATCAACAACAGCTACATAGTCCAAAGGTGACTGTTTGGTAGGGGAGACCGGGGATGGTTGTTACAGGGGTTGATTGTTACAGTGCGTTTTACTACTACCGTATAAATGGCAGCAGCTTCGCAACGACATTTTCAGGAAGGGCCGCCCGTCTAGTCTGTTGCCTCCTAACATAATTCAGCGATAGTTCAGTTCCGCTTGAGTGCGCATGTGGTATGTTGCTTTCGTTGTTTTCGAGGCTCTGGAGAAATTTTTGTTATTGAAAAATATTTGTTTATGGAGTTGCCTGTGGTGGTGAAAACCACTTTATGAGGTGATCGATTTATAATGTCAGGTTAGTACTTTTATAATGTATTGTTTTTATTCGGCTAATTATAATGTTCACAAAAATATTTGAGAAAAAAACAGAAAATGGCGGATGGGGTTGGTTGTGACACCTTCAACGGGGCAGGTTGTTACTGTCACAACCTACCCCATGAAAAATTATATTGGTGCGTTTAACATAATAAAAATTGTTTTAGACAGATAATGAGGAACTATATTCGCAAAACCGGAAGGGGAAAAACACCTGTAGATGTTTTTGAACGAGCTGCTAATGAGGTTCTTGTAAACAAGGAGTCCCTACGAACAGTAGCTGCTGATTTTGAGATAAATCATATGACTTTACAGCGATTTTGTAAAAAACAGAAAACAGAAAAACAGAAAGAAGATGAAGGTAACTTTTTATTTTACGCATTTTTTACGATTTGGTCTATTTGCATTGTACTTGCTGTGTTTGTGTCTGTGTGTGTGTGTATAAAATTATTTTTTGTAAGCTCCCGTTTTTTATACATTTATAAAACTCAATTTTGACTTTCTTTGGCTTTTTAAACATTTATTTGTAACTTCTATGTGTCAGCGTTGAAGTGTCAAATTAATATTTTTATTTTTTTTTATTTTTAGGATTAGAAGGACCTATCCATGTTGGATATAGACGAAATCGTCAGGTACTACCAGATGAGATGGAAGCTGACTTGGAAGAATACATGTATTTGTTAGACCAAGCAAAATATTATTTTGGCTTATCGACGAAAGAGGTTTGCAGACTGGCCTTTGAATTTGCTGTAAAAAATAATATAGCTGTTCGCCCCAACTGGAATGAAAATAAAATGGCATCTAATGACTGGTTGACAAGTTTTCTTAAACGTCATCCACGATTATCTCTCAGGGTTCCCGAGGCGACTAGCCTTGGTCGAATTACCAGCTTTAACAAGACAAATGTTTCTGCATTTTTTGACTTGCTGGAAGGAGTGGTTGATCGATATAAATTTGAACCACAAGACATCTATAATGTCGATGAAATGGGTATAACAACTGTGAAGAAGCCAGATAGAATCGTTGCTAGAAGGGGAGCTAAGCAGGTTGAGTTTGTAACATCTGCCGAAAGATGAACCCTAGTAACATTTTGTTTTGCTATCAGTGCTAGCGGCAATTCAATCCCTCCGATGTTCCTGTTTCCGAGAAAAAACTACAGAGATCATTTTGTGAACAATGGCCCTCCTGGCTGTATTGGAGCCGCCAATCTATCGGGGTGGATGACAGAAAACGAATTTTGTATTTTTCTGGAGCATTTTGCAAAACATTGTAGGTCATCTAAAGAAAAACCGGTTTTACTGTTACTCGATAACCATGAGTCACATCTTTCAGTAAAAGGCATTAACTACTGCAAAGAAAATGGCATTGTTATGATCTCCATGCCCCCGCATTGTTCACACAAACTACAACCATTAGATCGATCTGTCTATGGGCCTCTTAAGAAATATATCAATACCAGTTGCGATTCCTGGATGCGCGATAATTCTGGCAAAACAATGACAATTTATGACGTACCTAAAATTGTTAAAGATGCCTTTGGCTGCTACACCGAAGAATCTCCAGGCTGGATTTCAAATAAGTGGAGTTTTCCCCGTTAACAGAAACATTTTCACAGAGGATGAGTTTCTTCCTGCAGCTGTTACAGATCGTCCCAATCCAAATATTAAAAAACAAGTTCCAAACTAAGCCGAAACCCAGCAAGAAGCTCAGTTAACTGAACAAGAAAAAGCTCAATTAACTGAACGGGAAGAATCTCAAATAACCCCTCCAAATTCGCCGGTTGTGGTAAATTTACCTTCAGTTTTACGAGAGGTTAACAAAGAAAGAGATGATTTACAAGTCGAGGATTTCCCTGGACCCTCTGCAATAAAATCGTACTTATCTCCACAGGATTTGCGCCCAACGCCCAAGGCAGAACCACGAAAAACAAACAGAAAAGGACGAAAACAGGGCCGCGCTGCCATTTGGACTGATACACCCAATAAAGAGGAAATTGAAAACGCATACAAAGAAAGACAAGTGAAACAAACTTAGAAAAAGGCAAAGCAATCAGGCACAAAAAGAAACATTTGTAAAAGTAAATCCAAACATATTCCATCAAGCAGCTCTGAGGATGAAGAAGTTTTTTGTCTTATTTGCAGTGAGCCATTTTCAAATTCTCGTCCAAAAGAAAAATGGGTGCAATGTACGGCGTGCTCAAACTTGGCCCATCTGGAATGTACAGATAAAAATCCATTTTTTATTTGCTTAAACTGTAGTTCTGATGATGATATTTAAATATGGGGCCTTCACAAGATATTGTCACAACCAACCCCAGCATTGTAACAACCAACCCCGAAGCGGGGTAAGTTGTGACATTCTGCTTTTCTTGTTGATATTAATAATAACTTTATTTTTACTAGCTTTTAAGATTTAATTTTTATGTTTTTTATGCACAAAGCTTAAGTAATAAATATACGGTAAAATGAAATTTGTGGTATTAATAGGAAAAATTTAAAAAATATATTTATAAAAATCGTAACAACCAACCCCGGTCTCCCCTATGCCATATCCTCTAGCGGTATTATTGGGCCGTATTTCTTTGAAGGTGAAAACAGTCATGCATTGACAGTCAATTCAGAGCGATACAAGGACATGATTGACATTTTTTTGCTATAGAATAGAACGTTGGTTTAACAGAAACACATGGTTTCAACAGGATGCGACCTCTGCCCATATTTCCAGAGAGTCGATGGGCACGGTGAAAGCACTTTTTCCTCAAAAAACATTTGGACGGAATGATATTTGAGAAATAAAACCCGCTGAAGTTACGAATATGTTTATTGTTACAAATATTTTCTTTTCATTAAGTTTGTATTTTTTTTCTTAAATCAAAAAGTGAACTTCCTCACTGAACACCCTGTAGATGTATCTTTTTGATGAATCACGTGCTAAAACCGAACAAACCAACTCGGTTATCATAAGATTGTGGTACACGTAATACTAGGATAAGTGGCTTATTTTTTTAAGAACTATAAAGGAAAGGCCCAACTTCAAGAGCAGAGTAAGTATTATTGTTTAAAGTGAGAATAAATAAAGCTTGTCCAAATGGCACACCTTTTTATTTAACTAAATAACACTAAGCACTAACTACACGTCAACTTAAAAGTAGTCCTAAAAGTATCACAAGATGGCGTCTCAAATGTAATAGACGTATCTTCCCTTGACTTCACTTGGTGGTTATCTCCAATTTCTTTCACACTAACGTTGTATGTACAGTTGAACTGCAGATCCTTTATATCGAAATATGGTTCCTGGAACAAAATTCGTGAAAATTGTTATGTATATACAGTGCTTTTCAACCCCCCCTCCCCTACTTATTTTTTGATCTGGTCAAATTAGACCAAAAGAATTCGGACTACGATTTTGTTTGAATCAAAATTACATAGTCAGTAGTTACGATGTGATTTGTTTTGAACCAAAATTACGAATTCAGTAGTTAGGACGCAAGCTCATAGTACGTAATAAGTCGTTCAGGCTTAAACCGCCAGTTTGTCGTTTCACAATCGTATTTTTCTGCGAAAACAAAAGTGCCGGGGTTCCGCACAATCCTAGTGTTAAAAATAGCTGTCGAAAATGGTGGAGGTTATGTGGAATACAAAAAGTAGTTTAAACTAAATAAGGGCAGATCTTTGTATCGATAAGCATTGACATATTATCATCGGCGTTGCGAAAGGGCAGGTACCTGAACGTTGGGCTTCTACCTGGATAGTTGTGAGGGAAATTTGATTTTTTAATTCCACTTTCTGTTTCTTTTGTCCCAATCTAGTGTTTGTTAACAGAATTTTATACCTAACAACAACAATGAGAAACGAGACGAACAACATTTTTTGATGGATACTGAAAATGGCCAAACAAACTTTTTAAGTTTGAGTCTTATCTACTTCAGTTTTGCATCTAAAAGCTAGTGGTTAGTAGTTCTACGTTTTCACTTTGAAGCCACGAGATTTTATTGAGGAAGCTCAGTACGCCCCAAAAAACTAACAAAATCAAATTAATCAAATTTCTTCCAAACCTTTTTATTGAACAAATATAGTGAAAAGTAGACAGAGATCTATGAACTGCGGAGTAAATTCTATTATGTAATATGATTTCCAGCAGTTTGGAGAAATTTTTCAATATTGCCACTGCTCTATAGTTCTTAATATAATAAAATAGTAGTGTGCATGCACTGAATGTATACTAAGTGACATATAAATCCGAACACCCAGTTTAAATGGTTTTATTTTAATAAAATTTTGTATAAGTACTTAATGGAGCATAATAAGTAAATGATAAAAATTTCAAAATGATTGCACTGCTTTAAAGCCCTTTGACCTTTAATAATGTGTGGATGCACCCTGATGTGCTACGCATTCTCCAACGCGCCTAGGCATGCTTCTGATCAGGTGGTCAATGTCCTCATTCCAGGCAACCACCAACTCCTCTCGAAGTGCTTCTAGAGTCTGAGGAGGACGTTGCAAATTGAGCAATCTCCTACCCATCATATCCCACACGTGCTCAATTGGGGATAATTCGGGAGATCTTGGTGGCCATGGTTATGTTGAAAGAAGTCTATTGTGACTCTTGCAACATGTGGTCGGGCATTATCTTGTTGGAAAGTTGGATCTGCCAGGGTGTCAAGATAGGGTATAAGATGGGGTTCTAGAACTTCGTGGATATAACGCTGCGCGTTCATGTTACCTCTGATGAAGATTAAAGGTGACCTGGAACCATAAGCTATAGCACCCCAAACCATAACTCCAACAGTGTGATGAACATGTCTTCCAACAAAAAACTGTGGATTCCTCCTTTCACCACGTCGCCTTCTAACCCTGGCACGACCATCGTGCATGCCTAAACAAAATCGAGACTCGTCACTAAAGACAATACTGTTCCATTCCTGATCCCAGAGTCACCGTTGTCTGCACCACTCAAGGCGATTACGTCGGTGTTCTCGAGTTAAAGGGAGGACCTAGTGTGGCCAGTATGAAAACAAGCCAAAACTTCTCATTCGTCGGTAAACACTTCGCATGCCAATAGGTCTTCTGTGTTCTGCAAACCATTCATTTGCAATGGACCTGGTAGTGGAGAAACGGTCCCTTAAGGCCAATAATCTTAGGCGGCGATCTTCACGGTCTGTTGTTCTACGGCGGCGTCCAGTGCCCCTTGCTCTTTGCGTACGGCCTTCTCGAAGCCATGCCTGACAACACCTAACCACAGTGTCTACACTTCTTTGCACTCTAACTGCAATTGCCCGAAAAGAAAGTCCAGCTTCCCGAAGTCCCACTATACGGCCCCTATCAAACTCACTAAGTTGACGAAATCGTACAGGTCTCCGTACTCTAGGCATCATAACCGATCGTAAAGGATGTCAAGAACCAAAATCCGCCAACGTTGATTCTTTACTGCGGCTGAAATATTCATTTTTAGAGCGTTAGTGAATTAAAAAAAAGCAGTATAAAAACCGGAATGTCCAACTGATAAGGCTGAAAATTTTTTCACTTGTTATTTACAGTTAGATAAATACATTCACCAACTTTTATTAAAATAAAACCATTTAAGCTGGTTGTTCGAATTTATATGTCACTTAGTATAGTTTAGTATATTTCATTATACTTTGATTCTTCAGATGACTAAACAAAGGTACGAACCTTTGTTGTAACGAAATGATTGTACCCATTGCTCCTTCGATGACATGGACCTTTCCACCAAGCAATGGAATACTTGGAGATGTCATTTGTCCCATTCCAAGCTATCCTTGCAACCAAACTTTTGCCATTCAAGAAGATTTTGTGGACTCGTATGTCTTCTATTTTCGTTTGGATGTTCATCTCTTCTAGCTCTTGAGAATTACTTGCTGAAAAAGGAAACACTGAAGTCAGTTAAATAGGTAATGTAAGAAAATGTCACAGACATCGGTATCGAAATTCCATCCACAGCAAACGGAAGCAGCCCGAAAATTTGATGGAACGTCATTTCACTCACCATTTATATATTCGGTAGTATTAAGAACCAACCCAGATTTCTCACTCTTGATTCGTTCATCTCCAAAAGACACCAGGGCTTGAACTTGCAGGAAATATTGAGAATTTGGCTGAAGATCTCGTAGCACAAAGTACGTCTTATCCTGGAATAAAAAAGGTGTCGTAATGATTATAATAAAATAGAAAAATAATTCATAACTCATTAGAAAAATGACGACTAGTATACTAAGTGACATATAAATCCGAACACCCAGTTTAAATGGTTTTATTTTAATAAAATTTTGTATAAGTACTTAATGAAGCATAATAAGTAAATGATAAAAATTTCAAAATGATATCACTGCTTTAAAGCCCTTTGACCTTTAATAATGTGTGGATGCACCCTGATGTGCTACGCATTCTCCAACGCGCCTAGGCATGCTTCTGATCAGGTGATCAATGTCCTCCTGTGGTATCTCATTCCAGGCAACCACCAACTCCTCTCGAAGTGCTTCTAGAGTCTGAGGAGGACGTTGCAAATTGAGCAATCTCCTACTCATCATATCCCACACGTGCTCAATTGGGGATAAGTCGGGAGATCTTGGTGGCCATGGTAACAATGTGACATCATTATGTTGAAAGAAGTCTATTGTGACTCTTGCAACATGTGGTCGGGCATTATCTTGTTGGAAAGTTGGATCTGCCAGGGTGTCAAGATAGGGTAAAAGATGTGGTTCTAGAATTTCGTGGATATAACGCTGCGCGTTCATGTTACCTCTGATGAAGATTAAAGGTGACCTGGAACCATAAGCTATAGCACCCCAAACCATAACTCCAACAGTGTGATGAACATGTCTTTCAACAAAAAACTGTGGATTCCTCCTTTCACCACGTCGCCTTCTAACCCTGGCACGACCATCGTGCATACCTAAACAAAATCGAGACTCGTCACTAAAGACAATACTGTTCCATTCCTGATCCCAGAGTGACCGTTGTCTGCACCACTCAAGGCGATTACGTCGGTGTTCTCGAGTTAAAGGGAGGACCCAGTGTGGCCGGTATGAAAACAAGCCAAAACTTCTCATTCGTCGGTAAACACTTCGCATGCCAATAGGTCTTCCGCGTTCTGCAAACCATTCATTTGCAATGGACCTGGTAGTGGAGAAACGGTCCCTTAAGGCCAATAATAAATAAATAAAGGCGGCGATCTTCACGGTCTGTTATTCTACGGCGGCGTCCAGTGCCCCTTGCTCTTTGCGTACGGCCTTCTCGAAGTCATGCCTGACAACACCTAACCACAGTGTCTACACTTCTTTGCACTCTAACTGCAATTGCCCGAAAAGAAAGTCCAGCTTCCCGAAGTCCCACTATACGGCCCCTATCAAACTCACTAAGTTGACGAAATCGTACAGGTCTCCGAACTCTAGGCATCGTAACCGATCGTAAAGGATGTCAAGAACCAAAATCCGCCAACGTTGATTCTTTACTGCGGCTGAAATATTCATTTTTAGAGCGTTAGTGAATTAAAAAAAAGCAGTATAAAAACCGGAATGTCCAACTGATAAAGCTGAAAATTTTTTCACTTGTTATTTACAGTAAGATAAATACATTCACCAACTTTTATTAAAATAAAACCATTTAAACTGGGTGTTCGGATTTATATGTCACTTAGTATATTTTGACCCTATACCTCCGACGCAGTGCCGTCATCAGTTCATAAAAGTATTAATTTTTTCACTTGTTATTTACAGTAAGATAAATACATTCATCAACTTTTATTAAAATAAAACCACTTAAACTGGGTGTTCGGATTTATATGTCACTTAGTATATTTTGACCCTATACCTCCGACGCAGTGCCATCATCAGTTCATAAAAGGATTGAGTTCAGCACAAGTTACTATCTGAGAGAAAAAATAGTTACAAACATCTACAAAAGGGATATAAATGGATCAAGTCAGTCTAACGGGCCCATACAATTAATCCATAGGCACTGTTTCTTTGCCCTACCGGTAGTTACCATCTGGCAACGATGGGCCTTATCATATCTGCGCGGCAGTACCGGTAGAATGGATAATCATAACGGTACACCAGGCGGTGAGCCCGAGTAGCAGAAGGGGACGTATATAGAAGATATTTCTCTATCATTCTAAGTCTTAAGCGCAAATGTACGTGTAAATCTGTGATGTCTGAAACATGGATAGTGGGTGCGTAGAATTACGGGATTGGTAGTGTATAAATATGCTTACCATCCCTTACAACCCCCAACCTCCAATTTTAAGTCCTACAAATCTTTTGCTGAAAGCGATCAGGAGCCTCTCAAACGTTTGAGCGATTTTTATTATTTTATATGATGTATAGTATCATATGTAGATATTTCTCGCTTAAAAAACTGCTGAAATGTTTGATTTTGTGAATAAGGTATCTTAATTTTCTTATTAAATTTGAACGTGTATATTCTATCTTAGATTGTTATCTATGATTACCCCTAAGTATTTGAAATCATCAACCAATTGTATGTTTTTGCAGCTATTGAACGTTTTAATTTGGAGTTGATTAAAATTTGGGGCAGGTCATCTGTTGTCGCAAGGAAATTTAATAAAGTATGTTTTGTTGAAATTGACTGTTGAAATCCTTTCCGTAAAAAAATGTAACCTTTTGATACAATTTTGTTTTTTAAAGAAGCCCAAACTTTGTCACAGTAAATAATTGCCGGATCTTTTTAAACTTAAAAAGGTCATTAATATACAAATTAAACAGCATTGGTCCTAATACGGTTCCTTGTAGATTTCCGCTTCTAACAGTCATATTTTCGCTTAGTGTAGATACTGTTTATGTGCATACATTGTTTCCTGTCTTCCAAATAACTTTTTAAGAGTTGAATTTAATATATTATACTAAGTGACATACATATAAATCCGAACACCCAGTTTAAATGGTTTTATTTTAATAAAATTTTGTATAATAAAGTATAATAAGTAAATGATAAAAATTTCAAAATGATCGCACTGCTTTAAAGCCCGTAGACCTTTAATAATGTGTGGATGCACCCTGATGTGCTACGCATTCTCCAACGCGCCTAGGCATGCTTCTGATCAGGTGGTCAATGTCCTCCTGTGGTATCTCATTCGAGGCAACCACCAACTCCTCTCGAAGTGCTTCTAGAGTCTGAGGAGGACGTTGCAAATTGAGCAATCTCCTACCCATCATATCCCACACGTGCTCAATTGGGGATAAGTCGGGAGATCTTGGTGGCCATGGTAACAATGTGACATCATTATGTTGAAAGAAGTCTATTGTGACTCTTGCAACATGTGGTCGGGCATTATCTTGTTGGAAAGTTGGATCTGCCAGGGTGTCAAGATAGGGTAAAAGATGGGGTTCTAGAACTTCATGGATATAACGCTGCGCGTTCATGTTACCTCTGATGAAGATTAAAGGTGACCTGGAACCATAAGCTATAGCACCCCAAACCATAACTCCAACAGTGTGATGAACATGTCTTTCAACAAAAAACTGTGGATTCCTCCTTTCACCACGTCGCCTTCTAACCCTGGCACGACCATCGTGCATGCCTAAACAAAATCGAGACTCGTCACTAAAGACAATACTGTTCCATTCCTGATCCCAGAGTGACCGTTGTCTGCACCACTCAAGGCGATTACGTCGGTGTTCTCGAGTTAAAGGGAGGACCCAGTGTGGCCGGTATGAAAACAAGCCAAAACTTCTCATTCGTCGGTAAACACTTCACATGCCAATAGGTCTTCCGTGTTCTGCAAACCATTCATTTGCAAAGGACCTGGTAGTGGAGAAACGGTCCCTTAAGGCCAATAATCTTAGGCGGCGATCTTCACGGTCTGTTGTTCTACGGCGGCGTCCAGTGCCTCTTGCTCTTTGCGTACGGCCTTCTCGAAGCCATGCCTGACAACACCTAACCACAGTGTCTACACTTCTTTGCACTCTAACTGCAATTGCCCGAAAAGAAAGTCCAGCTTCCCGAAGTCCCACTATACGGCCCCTATCAAACTCACTAAGTTGAAGAAATCGTACATTTCTCCGTACTCTAGGCATCGTAACCGATCGTAAAGGATGTCAAGAACCAAAATCCGCCAACGTTGATTCTTTACTGCGGCTGAAATATTCATTTTTAGAGCGTTAGTGAATTAAAAAAAGCAGTATATAATTTACAGTAAGAATACATTCACCAACTTTTATTAAAATAAAACCATTTAAACTGGGTGTTCGGATTTATATGTCACTTAGTATATGTTACTCATATGAAACCTAACGTACTCAAAGTCGTCAAAAACACTTCATCCACCTATTATAATACACTTCACAATACCCCTTATACATCGTAACCTGATACGTGTTTATACAAAAAAAGGTGTATGACAGAATGACTAAAAGTCCATTAAGGTATTTCTATGCTTCTAATAAAGGTAACTAGATACTTCCAGCCACCTAGTCCTTTTTTCCGTGCCAAGTATATAAATACAAGCTCTTTGCGCCGTGATAATCACAAACTCGCGAGCTATGGTGCTCTATTTTGTAAAGGTAAGTCTGATGTTTTGGTGTTAATATAAAGCGCAAGAGAAGCAGATATACTTAGGCCCGTATCGTCAGTCGTCCCTACAATTGTTGGGCGCCTTTATGGCCTCCTTGATTGACATAGTTTTCTACTTCTCCGTGTCAGAACTCTATTTTGAGGTTATGTCACAAAGATCTATTTGCATCAAATTGTGCTTGCTTTTGAGTTATACAATGTTTTATCAGCCTGAAATTTCCTACAATTTAAAAAGAAAACATATCTTCACAATTGGAGAGCGCTGACGCTAACACGGGACAAGTGTAATCTAGATATTTTTGAAGGAGAGAAAGAATTATGACAATCAAGGAAGCCATAAACGCGCCCTACAATTGTAGGGACGACTGACGATACGGGCCTTAGTGTCAGCAATAGATTTATTATTGTCGTAAAGATTAAATCCTAAGAATGTATGATTATTACTTCGTCTATTACACATCATGGGCTCTTGCACTCCTTTAAGTTATTCATAAAATAACTATAATTAATTAGCGTAAAGCTGTATGCACATTGAGGAGAAGGGAAGCGACTCGTGTCGCACGATGCTCGACAATGAAATCAGAGACAGCCGTATGTCAAATATTATCGAATAAAATTGTCGCGCAGCGAATTCGCTTCTCGTCCCCTCAATGGATGCTCACCGTAAATGTTTCAATTCTGTTTAACCGTAAAAATGTTAAAGTAAAACGTTTCCCAGAGCTTTTAATCAAAACTGAATGTACATAGCCACCTATATCTAACAAGCTACGAAGTACGAAACTTGGCAACGTTGTGGAAGTCCTATAGGTTTATCCATACGATCCGAGGCCAAACCACCCTTATTGCATTTTACTTGTAATTCACTTGTTTTCAATCGGTATAAGCTATAGGTGGTGCTCTGTGTCCGTGGTTGTTTGGAAAACCAATTGTTATCACACAAAAGTCGGATATAATACAAGTGTGGAGATGCCAAGATGCGTCGCTCTTGGATGCTAATCCAACAACGCGGGTTCGTTGGAAAAATAACTAACTAATTATATCTAAGTTTTTTCAACCGCACCATACTAATGATACAGATTTTGCAATTTGGAAGCCCGTGGTCTGATTCATAAATAATTGAAGTGACCGGAAAACCAAAACAATGCTGCCATTTCTAATTGATCAGTTCACTTTTGTTTTCATTTACAATTTATGGATTTCTGAATTCACCAGTTCAATGGTACCTTCAAATAATTGCACAAATATGAATTTTAAGATAACACTGACATTCTTCAATATAGTCCAACGTATTATTTTCAAAAAAAAAATAATACTTTGTCTACTTCTTCAACAAACGTAAGCCTGAAAACAGTAATTCATTGAAGATTTTATTGTTTGCATGCAATATTTTAAACAGTACTATTTTGCCTTTATTTTTCTTAAGACGTTATATTCATATTGAATTCTATTGTTTAGAGAATAATAATCTTGAAATTCCGATAATCCGTTTATGATTAGTATTTACTGAACATTTTCACTTTGCGCACCTGTTGCGACGTTGCCTTTTTTACTTCATGGCTTGTAGTTGTAGGCATTGGACCTAGGTGGCTTACAATTTAGTTAATAGTTGATCCTAGCGATAAGCATATCTTTGTCATCTGTGTTCTAGATCTTAATCTTAGTGGCGACATGGACGGCATGTGAAATCACCACAGCCTACTCTTTCTATCACAGAGAAAAATATGCCGAAATCGAAGCTCCTGATCCAGTTGAAACTATACTGATGAAAGAATGCGAAAACGAATTAGACGATATGAGCTGTGTGAAAAAATTGATGAAAAGCATGAAGAATACACAAGATCGGAAGACTGATGAGTTTGTCAATTACATGGAGAAGAAGATAGCTTCGCCTACAAATACGCTAGTAAGTAGTTTCATTTTTACGCGATTGGCTCAGAAGGTGGGTGGTATTTTTCGTGCATGGATATGTACTCGTATGTAAACAAAATAAATCTCGGGTTACATTTTGACATGTTATGTGTACATTTTGACATGTTATGTGTTGTTGCTATATAAAAAATTTATAAAATCAATGGAGAGAGAATCAACTTTGAAATTCCTATTTCACGGGCTGCAGCTTAAACGGCTGTATGGATTTTGACATATAAGGTGTAGTATAGTAGTAGTAGTAGTATCTTTATTTAATAGCTTCAAGCTTAACAATACAATATATATATATATATATATATATATATATATATATATATATATAATGTTATTATCTAAAACTAAGACTATTTTCCACATAAATTCTCAATTTTATTTTGAATTTGACAAAAATTGTAGATTTGATTTCAGCTGGTAAATTATTAAAATCTATAAGGCCTTTAAGAAATAAACTATTTTGCGCAAAAGCAGACCCCACAGCAGGAACATAAAAATCAAACCTATTCCTTGTATTGTAACTATGAATATCACAGTCAAATTGCAAACCTTCCAATATGTGTTCGGGATACATTCCATTCATTATTTTGTAGATGACTATCATTGTATTGTAAAATATATTTTGTTTGATATTTAATAAATTAGTTACTTCTAACATATATTTAGTTCTTGTGTATCTATTACATCTTAATATACATCTAAGAGCCTGATTTTGTTTTCTCTGTAGTGAATCTATATCACCTTTCTGAAACATATATAATATGGAGGAACAGTAGTTAAAGTGAGGCATGACTATTGTTCTATGTATAAGTAGTGTCGTTCATGATCTAAGGTCCTTTGTTACCCTACACACTAAATTAACTTTTTTAGAGACTTTTTTATAATATAATCTGCATGACTATTGAATGTTAGATTTGAGTCTATCATAACTCCTAAATATTTATACTTGTTAATCTGTTTAATCTTACTATTTTCAATTATAAATCCGTCGTGCAGATAAGTATCCTGAGCATTAAATTTAGATTTCAGTAACATACACTTAGACTTGTCAATATTAATACTAAGACTATTGTTCAATAACCAGGCATATAATGTCTTTAAGTCTTCATTAATCATTTTAACCAAATTGTCTATGTTGTCACAATCCAAGAACAAAATTGTATCGTCTGCAAACAACTGAATTTTGCAATTTTTTACAGCCTTTACAATATCATTTATGTACAGCATGAATGATCAGGACCCAACACTGTTCCCTGAGGCACATCATGTCTATTTTATCTTACAGACGATAAGGAGTTTTTGTACTTTGTTCGCTGAGTTCTTTGTCCCAAGTATCCTGAGAACCATCTTAAAACGTTGCATTCGAAGCCATATTTTTCTAGTTTATTTATCAACAAATTTCTATTTATTGTTTCGAATGCTCTCCTAAAGTCGATAAACACAACACCCACATAATGACCCACACTCAAAACATTTTTCCATCCTGAAATCTTTAGATTTGTCTTGACGCTAAGAGTGACACTGCGTATACTAAAATTTTATAATAGCAGAATGGCGTATTTTAAATGCAAACTTCAACTTTGGAATTTCTATTTCACGCGGGACGCAGCCCAAATGGCTTTACGGATTTTGACATTTGAGGTGTCTTTAATTGATCTTGATAGCACAATTGAATCTTCACTCTCTTCAATTACTACTCCACTGAAAAAACAAATAATATCAATAAAAAGTCTCGGTAGAAGATGTATCCAATCTCAGAATATTTCCCGTATATAATGGGAAATATAAATCACAATTCATAGTAATATCATAGGCCTATCACCCGGAAATAATTCAAAATGCATCATATAAAATTCCAAAAGGATATAAAAAACGTTATTAATTCTTATTACAAGCTTTTTTATGGGTCTATTTGTTTTTATGTTACCGAGGAGGATGTAATTTAAGTCATAATGTTTTATCATAGGCTTTCTAAATTTTATTTTATGCATGCTATTATAAAAGACAAATAAAGGTGTATTTTTTTAGAAATTACATGGCAGCTCAAAAGTTATTCCAGTCTACCATACAGGAACGACATCTTTTGAACAATGCACCTGCGACATGGACTTTCAACTTATGGACCTTGGAAAAATATACTATCCACGGTAGTCTTTTAACAATTAGCATTTACGTAATAAAATCACTGTATGTCGTCTATACAGGGAAAACCAAATTTGTCTGACGGCTTGAGTCAATGTGTACGAGAGTAGTGTGTATCAACACATGTTAGAAAGAGATAGCTCATCTATGATCGTGGAGGTGGAAACCTTGCCTTGGAATGGACGCGATGCGGTGTTGCCAGGCGAACCAGTAATGCAATGTTGCAGAATTTGTGGCGATTTCATTTCGACGTAAAATGGAGAGCCGTTAGAACCGATCGGGAATAGATCCTAAACAGATTCGACACAATTGACAATTCAAAAAAGTGTACGCTCAAAATAAAACCATTATTTGGGCGTATAAAACAAACTAGCGCAAATTTTCAACATGCATCTTAATTCAAGGAATTGGTGTAGCATATTTGCAACGCGGCAAATTGCGGCATCAGCGATGCTGGCAACGCGGTGATAAGCTTCGCTATCTAGCCGGCTTCTGTTTTTCTCTAACATATGTGTCTATACACACTTCTCTCTCTTGGACATGGAACTCAAGCCGTCAAACAAATTCAAACAGCCTCTAATACGCCCCTGGACTTACTTCCACAGGGTGTTTCAGTTTATTGTTGCATAACTTTAAGATACGATAGAACTTTTAAAATTAATCCATAAAATCTATATAAACATGGGTCGAAAAATGCGTGGCTTCCGAAATACAGGGTGTTTAAATTTACTTTCTAAAATAGTTTTTTTTAAATATTTCGAACAATATTTGATGTATAACAGTGAAAATTGGTATACAAGGGTTTTTTGGTACGACAAAACGAACCATGGGCATAGTTTTACTGTAGCCGCTAGAGGGCGCTCTCTACCGTACTTGTAGTGTATTAAAATGACCGACAATTTTTTCTTAGTGCAATTTTTTGCTTTTTGAATAAAAAAACTGATTCTTCGCACTTTTCGACATAAAAAAGCTCTCTTGTGATTTTCGTTATAGTTAGCTGTTTTTGAGATATTTTGATTTTCAAGGTTCGATGCATTTTTAATTATTTATGATAAAATAACGTTAAAAAGTCAGTATCTCGATAATTTTTAGAAGTAGGTTGTGCCTGCAAATATTTTTGAAATTGAAAGCAGAATAAGGTTAAACGTCAATTAGTTGACAGTTAGTTTTGTTGTCTGTTGAAACCTGAAACGTTTTTTTGCAATTGTGAATGCACGAAATTTAGTTTCTTTTGTTTTTTTTGTGAGTTTTATAAAAATGCCATTTTTATTCTCCAATCAAGAGTTAGCGGATATTCATTTTGTGTATGGCTTTGTAAATGGAAACGCAGCAGAAGCAGCCAGAGAATACGCACGAAGATTTCCAAACAGACGACATCCAACTCGCTCAGTATTTGTAAGAGTGCATCGCCAAATAATTGAAAATGGTTTTGGAAATCCCCAAAGGGATCAAAAAAAAATGTTTGTCAGCGCAGATTTACCCGTATGATTCTGCGTGAGTTTGATAGAGATCCGACCACAAGTGTTAGGAGAGTTTCTGGTGCATTGGGAATTTCAGCAAGCCATGTTCACCGTGTTCTTAGAAATGACCATAGACGTCCTTACCATTTGCAACCTGTGCAAGGACTACAGCCAGGGGACGGAGAACGAAGAATCACATTTTGTCAGTGGATTCTTGATAGAACTGAAAATAATAGGGAGTATTTAAGTAACGTTTTATGGACCGATGAGTCATGCTTCACTAGACGTGGGGTGGTAAATTTTCATAATCAACATATTTGGTCGCATGAAAATCCGCATGCAATGCGGGAAAGAAATTTTCAGCATGAATTTAGTGTGAACGTGTGGATTGGTATCTACCGTAATCGACTATTTGGACCCTGCCTTTTGCCTGCAAGGTTAAATGCTGCGAACTTCTTGGAATTTTTAAAGGCTGAACATGCAAATATGTGGGATGATGTTATGTTAGATTTAAGAAGATTGTCCTTGTTCCAGCTTGATGGTTGTCCAGCTCATTATTCGAGAATAGTTAGAAACTGGCTGGACAAAAATTATCCAGAAAGATGGATCGGCCGTGGAGGACCAGTCGCCTGGCCTCCACGATCCCCTGACCTAAATCCATTAGATTTCTTTGTGTGGGGATTTCTAAAAGAAAAAGTGTACCAGACTCTCGTAACCACAAGAGATATGCTAATAGACAGAATCAGGAATGCACGTGATAAAATAAGGCCTTATTTGAATAATGCTATACCACATTCGATCATTCGTAGATGTGAATTGTGTATTGAACAATTGGGTTTACATTTCGAGCAACTACTTTAGATTTTGTATGTTTGTCCTAACTATCCAATATCATTTTAGTTGTAAATAATTAATTTAATTTGTTAAAAATAATATTGGAAAATTAAACAAATTAATATTCTGTTTTTTTGTGTTTATTTGGAGTTAGGAATTATTGCTATGTTTAAAAACACAATCTAAACGACCATCTTAATTACTTGTAATTTTTCGACCCATGTTTATATAGACTTTATGCATTAATTTTAAAAGTTCTATCGAATTTTAAAGTTATGCAACAATAAACTGAAACACCCTGTATATCTATCCGTTAGTTTTTTTGCAAAATGAGAATTTTCTTTTAGATTGTGCATTATGAATGTGGACATATGGACGGTATCTAAAATATTTTTTGAGTAATTACAGGGAGTTGAAATAGCTTGCCATTAGAGCAATTTAGTTAAAAAATTTGAAAAGTGTAAGGTACGTATTTTAAGTAAAACAGTTTCGAAATAACAAATTTGTTTTCCCAGGTACTTAAAAACAGGAGTATGCAAGCAGAACTCCTGCGCCGAGTTCCACAAATGCGTAGAGAGAAAGTATAAGGTAAGAGTCCTGAAACAAAGAGAAACAGAGGATCCGGACAACACCTCCCTCCTCCCGAAATCTTTGAGGGAATACTGGGTCGCTGAAACCGTCACCGTTGCCGTGGCTTGCGAGTGCGCTCCTGATATTTGATTTCTAATCTCTGGACCTTTTCATGGAAATACGATTGGATGCTATGGTTGAAATATATAGATTTGCTTATCGAGTTGCGTTTACTTCAAGTTCCTAATTCATTTTTTCAATATAAGGAAAATATATCTTTGATCTACGTTAAACTGCAAGAATCAGAATCAGACAGTCAAACAAATTGCAACCGCACAAGACGTTCGCTCTCAATGTGAACGAAATCGAAAATCACGCAATTTTAGGCAAAACCAAGATCAAATATCTTACAAAGTATATGGTAGCGACATCTATAGCTCGCGACAGGTAAAGTTGCCTATTAGTCCAGTCATTATAGGGAGTTCACTTCAAAAAATCGAGATACCCAACTATAAACTCGTATAAACGTCTATTTTGACATCCCAAAACTTGTCTCAAAATTCACACATGATAAGATGGTCGCAACTTTGAATGTCAGAGGTCAAAGTGACAAAAATCGATTTTGTGCACATTTTTTGCAAATATCTCGTTTCCTATGGGTTTTACGCTGTTTGTAAACAAACATTTTTTCATGCGTCGAACTGTTTTTATTTATTTATTTATTTATTTTCAAAAGGTGAAACCCAATTACAGGAAATGCTGAAAAAAATAACAATTAAAGAGACATGGTTATTGGACTTAAATCTATAGTATCACACATTCTAAATAAGATTAGATGATCTATAGCAGTTAATAATCTAACTCTATAGTATCACACGTTCTAAATAAGATTGGATGATCTATAGCAGTTAATAATAATCGATGCACAACTGTCACTGGAAATATCACACGATTCAGTAACACTGTTCATGACGCAGCACATGAGATTAACTGGCGATTTTGTCATAACATTTGTACGGTCAGCTTGACAATAGAATGCCGTTTGTTGTCGACTCCCTAGCCTTGGAACGCGGAAACATATTTTTTCGAGTAAATTTTCACAGTCAATTTCATTGTGAATGAGGCCATACAAAAACGACAAAGCAAATATGTTTCGTCTTGTTGACAGTGAATCCAAGTTGAAAAACTCTAATAGGGCACTATGGTCACAACCTCTTTCTGGATAAGAACCTGTGCATTTAAGGTGAAAATACGTTAAAGCTTTACGTTGAATGGCCTCAAGGATCACGACAGAATTTTGATATATAGGAGACCAGATCAGAGTCGCATACTCCAACTTGCTCCTGACAAAAGTAAAAAATAAAGTCATAAATATATCAACATTGGAGAAACCCTTCCAGTTTCTGATACAGAAACCAAGTAGTCGAGTGGCAGCCAACGAGATATTGAGTATATGCTCAGTAAACGTTAGCTTGGTATCAAAAGTGACTCCAAGGTCTCTATAAGAGGTGCATCTGTCTATAACCTGACCATTGATTTTATAGTTATCATAAATTAAATAGTTAACCTTTCTTGTATAGAACTGCATAATGATCAACTTGATCAAACGCCTTCTGAATATCTGTGTAGATGACATCAACTTGTCCCTGACCGTCCAGTACTTCAGAAATGTAATTAGAGCCAAGTTGGTGACCGTAGATCTGCCTCTCATAAACCCATGCTGATTAATAGAGACTGCACCCCTGACCGAGCAGTAAACAACTTGCTGAAATTGCACAGGATTGCTATTTGGCGATAGTTGGAAATATCAGAGATATCTCCACTTTTGTGAATAGGACATATTTTAGAGGTCTTCCAGATATTTGGATATGTCTCTGATTTTAGAATTAGGTTGAATATGGAAGCCAGCGGTTTCGCTAGTATATGAATGCAATCTTTAACGAAAAAACTTGGAATACCATCACATCCAGACGTCATTTTGTTCTTTAATCTTTTCGAAGTCCTAATTACGTTTTCTTCACTTATATTTTTTAAAGAAATGATATCGGTAGCATTATTTGTTGGAGGAGATGACCCTAGTAGACCAGACGGAATAAAAACTTGAAAATAAGGTAGCAAAACTGTCCACTATATCCTGAGGCGTATCGCAGACATTGCCGTTAAGCGTGATCCCTGGGGGAATTCTAGATTGCTGTTTTTTGATCTGGGCAAATGACCAGAATTTGCTAGGATCATTCACAATGGCATCCTCAACCGATTGGACGTAAGCGGAGTAGGCAACACTGATCTGGTTTTTGAGATGGAGGGCGCAGAATGCGCAGTTAGAGTATCATTTGAGGTGGACAGGTAGTCCCGATCGAAAATATGTAATATAAAGTTTATAAATTATTGCTAAATATAGAATTATCATTTTTTATTAACTATTATTATATGCTATCTTTTTGTTCAATAATTCAAAAATTTATCAATTCCATAAATTTCGGGACATACATACATACTTTAACTACATTTTAACTATATTTTAAACAAGATGTACCTAATTATTTTATACTTGAAATGAAATTGATGTAAATGAGAATATAATTAAAATGTAATTAAAGTATATCCCTTAATATTTTTTCAATTACAATATATTACGAGTGTTATTGATTTGATACATTTTTGAATCAATGAATAAAAAGATAGCATATAATGTAATAGTTGATAAAAAATGAGAATTGTATATTAAGCTACAATTTATAAACTTTATATTACGTATTTTCGATCGTCACAATCAGTTGACCTCAAATGATCCTCTAACTGCGCGTTCTGCGCCCTCTATCTCGAAAAATATTGATAACAGATACAAACAGCGTAAAATCCATAGGAAACGAGATATATGCAAAAAATGTAAAAAAAAAATTGTGAAGTTTGACATCTGATTTTAAAAGTTGCGACCATCTTATCATGCGTAAATTTTGATACAAGTTCTGGGATGCCAAAATAAAAGTTTATACAAGACTATAGCTGGGTCTCTCGATTTTTCAAGATTCTCACCTAATTTTGACTAAGATGACTGGATTATATTGAGAATCAATTGGGGATTGGCGACAAATCCGTCAAACATATAACGTGCATAGTAAAGTTCGATCTCCACAATGACCTTTCCCAGTTATGTATAACCATGTATACCGGGTGTTTCAATTTTGATCCTTGCCATTGGGATCTCAAAAAATTTCGAAATGCAAACTACTTATAGAGAGAAAGACGAAAATCACAAATTTTCTTAAAATCGTTTAAATTTTTTGCTGACATTGTAGTGGGATTTTAAAATAAATTGCAGACTAACATTGTCACTTTTTCTCCTCAACTTGTAGACATTGAAACTGCCAAACCTTAATTATTTCAAATAAACAAAATTTTCTGAGTGGACTCTGAAATGTGTTTCGTATACCAGACTTATGACAAAACCATTTTTATTTTTTTCGACTCTATTTTAGTTGGGGTCTTAAAATAAATTGCATATTGTCATTGCCACTTTTTCTTCTCTGGAACATATGCATTTTTAATTCGAGGTTTGTTCTTTCGGCTTCCATCACCATCGTTCTTTTTTCATATGAATATAATCACTTTAATTAAATATCTGAAGTATATCGTGACATAAATAAATATATTATGTTCATAACTAAATGCAGAATCAAAAATTGTGTTCGATTGTGCAAAATTTCAATATGGAGTCCATAAGAAAAAAAAAACAAAGTCGATGGTGGAGATCGAAAAGAGAAATGTCCAACTGAGAATTTGACTACGCTATCTTGTAGATGAGAAATAGAGGCAATGCTAATATGCAGTTAATTTTGAAATCCAATTTCAAGTAACACCAGGAAATAAACAACGGTGTTTAACTTGAACATTAGAGAAATTACCTTTGTTACAGCGTATTGTTGCACTAAAACCGAGTCCAAAGCTTTAGCTCCATGCAATCTCCTGCTACAAAATACTTTGTAACTGTGCAACGGTAGATCCGACCTAAGAGTAGACCATTGTAACTTCACTGTTAGACTTCCATTCCTCACAATCAATGGTCCAATGGTCAAATTTTGAGGAGGCGGTGGAGGTTTTGGACCTGAAAATGTAATCTTTGATGATTCCAGACTCCATACAAAAAGATTCAAGGTCACACTTCCTTTTTTCGCTTTTTTCAGCTGTTCTCTAAATCATATCCATCTGATCATTTCATGTGTGTATAGAGATGACTAAAAAACAATGTTGTCAATTTTTGTTGTCGATAAAGGCATTTTTTGTGGATCTTATTATGGATCTTATTGTGCATTTTATCTTCAATCTTAACTTGCCAACAATTATTAGTACAGTTCTAAAATTATATGTCGATATTCTACTTTTACGGAAGAATAAAATTATGATTAGTTTTATTCTTATCACTAACACCACATACGTGTCAGGATGGACGCGGGAAGTAACATTCAGGCATAATAGCGTAAGAATTAGCGCTCGACATCAACAAAGCTTCTGGTCCGAACTTGATTCCTGCCATTGTATTGAAGAAAATTGGAAATTTGCTCGTATCCAACCCATCCCAAAAAGGGATCCAAGACCGACCCTTACAACTACAGGCCTATAGCTCTGTTTTCTGTTGACTCAATTAGCGTCAGGCAGTATGGTTTCTGTGGCCTCACAGCACTGGCGAAGCGTCCATGTAACCATTGTTGCCATTTTTTGATTTGGTTACTCACTCGTTCGTAGCCGTTACCGGCTGTAGTGTGCGTGCAATTAAACATGGATGAATGTTGCTGCGTAATCGATCAACTACTTGAAAAGTCATTCTCCTTGTATAATTTTTAAGAAAAAAAAGGAGATCATTGAAGATGGAAGACCAACACCTATTTTAGATCATTTTAAAAAGGAATAAAAAAACGTAGTTTGATATTTTAAATTAAGTTGGTATAAGGAAACTCTTGGTTATGTGGTTGCAAAAAAAACAGATTGTATTGTTGGCGATGTCTTCTGTTTTATACAGAAAAAAAAGGGGTGGACCAGCAACGGAGTCAACGATTTAAATAGTTTTAGGGCTCTAAAGAGGAGACATGAAATTTCTCCGTTACATGTGAGATGTGTAGCCAATTTAATTCAGTTTGGCAAAACAAGAATCGAAAGTTGTCTTAACCAAGCTTTTAGGCAGCACACTTCTAGATACCGTATGTTTTTGGCAAATCAGGAATTACCGTTCATTTTGAAGAGAATGACTCTGACAATAGAGGAAATTACAGGGAATTACTAATATTCATTGCCAAAAAGATCAAAAATTTTCCGAACATCTAGAAACGTCGACTGTTTTTTCGGATGGCTTGGATTAGTCATAGCAAAATACGATGAGGTATATCAAGTGCCCCAGGCGCTCAGCCCAGGAATGTTTACCTTAATTTAAAAATAGTTTAAATAAAATACCTAAAATAAGCAAAAAAATTATATTTGGGAGGTTCAAAATAAACTTTTTTTAATAAGATTTTTCACATCTGGTTTTGGTAACAGTTTAGGAAACGTCACGCGTCGCCACTGCCTCACAGAGAAGCTTTGCAGATGGGTGGCTTACTATCTCTCTGGCCACAAGATATCCGTCGTAATTTATATGTTCTCCTTTTTAACCCACATCGTCAACGCGGGTGTTCCCCAGGGATTGATCTTGGCTCCGTCACTGTTCCTCTTAACATATCCGTTGCCGCCCCGACTACATTGTTCTTGCTCGATACTGTTCAGAGGAAGGCTGTACGACTCATCGATGATTCTTTTCTAACTGACATTCTCCGGATCCTTCCGCACCAACGTGCTTTTCTCCTCAGAGCTCTCCTCCATGATGCCGCCGCGCGATGTATCTGCCAGACAGACCCGTCTGACTTCGGCCTCCCACCCTAACCGTGTCGAACTTAGTACATCCAGAACTGGCCGATACGACCGCGCCTTTGTTCCTAGGGTGTCGAGATTGTGAAACAATCTACATCAGAAGGCTTTTCCCAGTTCTACTAACATCAGTCGGTGCAAAAATGGGATTAACAAAGCTTTATGCTCATCATAGCATCTTTGATTTTCTTAATACGCCATTTTGCAGCAAACTGAGATGTACTATTATTTGTTAACATGTTACGATTCAAGAAAAAATGCACAAGAAATCCAGAATAATTAATTTTTTGAGAAAAAAAAGAAACAGACATACATCTCTAGACAGACCGTGGAACAATCAGACGAAAAGTAGGTACTCCGTATTCGTAAACATTAAGGTGGGAGTCCTTTTGACCTTAATTATTATGATTATTGAGGCTAATAAATCCGCAAGTACTTAATAAGAACTTATAGAATTAGGAATTCAGATACAGGGCAAACTGAAATGGAGAAGCATTTTGTAGCTGTTGAGTGCAAAGTCTAACATGCGTTCAAACCACGAAGCAACGGGTAAATTTTAGTAGTGACTAGGATTTCCATCCGTCCGACGTTGCTGGAAATGTTTGGGAAGCTATAACTCATTCGTTTTAACTTCCAACGCCACTGGATGAGGAAGTATTGTGAATTGTAAAATTTTGTAAACGAGATTATGTTTTTTGGATGTTATACAGGGTGTTTCAGTTTATTGTTGCATAAGTTTAAGATTCGATAGAACTTTTAAAATGAATGCATAAAGTCTATATAAACATGGGTCGAAAAATGCGTGGCTTCCGAAATACAGGGTGTTTAAATTTACTTTCTAAAATAGTTTTTTTTAAATATTTCGAACAATACTTGGTGTATAACAGCGAAAAGTGGTATACAAGGGTTTTTTGGTACGACAAAACGAACCATGGGCATAGTTTTACTGTAGCCGCTAGAGAGCGCTCTCTACTGTACCTGTAGTGTATTAAAATGACCGAAAATTTTTTCTTAGTGCAATTTTTTGTTTTTTGAATAAAAAAACTGATTCTTCGCACTTTTCAACATTAAAAAGCTCTCTTGTGAGTTTTTGTTATAGTTGGCCGTTTTTGAGATATTTCGATTTTTAAGGTTCGATGCGTTTTTAATTATTTATGGGAAAATAATATTTTTTTTACATTTTCGATTTGGGCATTACAAGTAATTAAGATGATCGTTTAGATTGTGTTTTTAAACACAGCAATAATTCTTAAGTCCAAATAAACACAAAAAAACAGAATATTAATTTGTTTAATTTTCCAATATTATTTTTAACAAATTAAATTAATTATTTACAACTAAAATGCTATTGGATAGTTAGGACAAACATATAAAATCTAAAGTAGTTGCTCGAAATGTAAACCGAATTGTTCAATACACAATTCACATCTACGAATGATCGAACGTGGTATAGCATTATTCAAATAAGGCCTTATTTCATCACATGCATTCCTGATTCTGTCTATTAGCATATCTCTTGTGGTTACGGGAATCTGGTACACTTTTTCTTTTAGAAATCCCCACACAAAGAAATCTAATGGATTTAGGTCAGGGGATCGTGGAGGCCAGGCGACTGGTCCTCCACGGTCGATCCATCTTTCTGGATAATTTTCGTCCAGCCAGTTTCTAACTATTCTTGAATAATGAGCTGGACAACCATCAAGCAGGAACCAGGCCAATCTTCTTAAATCTAACATAACATCATCCCACATATTTGCATGTTCAGCCTTTAAAAATTCCAAGAAGGTCGCAGCATTTAACCTTGCAGGCAAAAGGTAGTGTCCAAATAGTCGATTACGGTAGATACCAATCCACACGTTCACATTAAATTCATGCTGAAAATTTCTTTCCCGAACTGCATGCGGATTTTCATGCGACCAAATATGTTGATTATGAAAATTTACCACTCCACGTCATGACTCATCGGTGCATAAAACGTTGCTTAAAAACTCCCTATTAGTATCAGTTCTATCAAGAATCCACTGACAAAATGTGATTCTGTGTGTAAGGACGTCTATGGTCATTTCTAACACGGTGATCATGGCTTGCTGAAATTCCCAAGGCACCAGAAACTCTCCTAACACTTGTGGTCGGATCTCTATCAAACTCACGCAGAATCATACGGGTAAATCTGCGCTGACGAACAATTATGTTTTGATCCCTGGAGATTTCCAAAACCATTTTCAATTATTTGGCGATGCACGCTTACACATACTGAGCGAGTTGGATGTCGTCTGTTTGGAAATCTTCGTGCGTATTCTCTGGCCGCTAACTCTTGATTGGAGAATAAAAATGGCATTTTTATAAAACTTACAAAAAACAGGTAAAAGAAACTAAATTTCGTGCATTCACAATTGCAAAAAACGTTTCAAGTTTCAACAGACAACAAAACTAACTGTCAACCAATTGACGTTTAACCTTATTCTGCTTTCAATTTCAAAAATATTTGCTACTTCTAAAAATTATCGAGATTTTTTTAGCGTTATTTTATCATAAATAATTAAAAATGCATCGAACCTTAAAAATCGAAATATCTCAAAAACGGCTAACTATAACGAAAATTCACAAGAGAGCTTTGAGAATCAGTTTTTTTATTCAAAAAGCAAAAAATTGCACCAAGTAAAAATTTTCGGTCATTTTAATACACTACAGGTACAGTAGAGAGCGCCCTCTAGCGGCTACAGTAAAACTATGCCCATGGTTCGTTTTGTCGTACCAAAAAACCCTTCTATACCAATCTTCACTGTTATACATCAAATATTGTTCGAAATGTTAAAAAAACTATTTTAGAAAGTAAATTTAAACACCCTGTACTTAGGAAGCCACGCATTTTTCGACCCCTGTTTATATAGATGCATTAATTTTAAAAATCGGTCCAGTAGCGGCAGAGAAAAAAGCCAAGGAAGGTGTATCGCAATGTTTGATGTTAGTATATTAATACACTTACAACCCGGATAATCTTACGCACCTATTGGACATACAGCTTCACTCATCATAGATTGTCTCGTATATTTGCCTTTAAAACAATACGATAGAAAAATGTTGCTATATGCAACTGATGCTCTGTAGATTTAGGTAATTTGGGACGCTAAAAAAACTTAAAGGGTTATGGTGTGGATTAGGAGGGAAAAATTGGTGAAAAACTAGTTAAATGGGGCTAATCGTAAATCCTAGTACTACCCGATTCACCTAGAAAAACAAGCTCTTTTCCAGATTGCAGACACGCAACAATTTTCGGAGATCTCATTAGTCGTTTTTTTGAAAAATATAATTCCTGACAGTACCTCAAAAACGGGGCATTTCCGGACTGAATGGGCTCCGGATTCGGTTTTAGCAACCCAAAAAACGTATGATGATGGGGTCCCAAACTAACCCATTTTTGTCACTTTTTGTTATCAAAAATTAAAATGTTTTAAATATGATTCAAATGACCTCCATTGTACGTATTGTGGGTCGCTAAGATCGAATCCGAAGTCATGTCACGTGTATCTAATCCAATTTATTATGAACAATATAGTACTTAGTGAAATTATGTGACATTTCAGACTTTAGGATGTTGAGAATCAGTTTTCTTCACCGGTTGCTATATGTGTTCGACTCTCTGGAAATTCAGGTAATTTGGGGCGCTAAATTTGAATATCATCTTAAAACAACCTTAATTTTTGTTGATTGCGATAAAATGATAAAGACAGTCTAATTTCATTTTACTGACCATGATAATGTTTCCAACATATACTAATTCTTATAACAGATACGAAAAATCATTTATCGGAAGAACCGTTGCATATCAATTTTCAGATCACTTTACCTGGTTTCAAACTTTTGGGCGATTTTTTAGAGATTAACTCGCGGTGTAAAATCTATGGGGGTAGTATTGAAACAAAACGGTTTTTTCTCAAAAAAGGTTCATTTTACCGAAATAAAATAAGAATACTTTTTTTGTTCAGATCAGGTATGAGACTTTTACAAGAACATGTCTTTTGAGTCACAAACGTTGGATTAGGGCCAGCCGGGCCCTGGCGATCTGAATGATTAAATTGTTTTCAATAGACATCGTTGCGTAAGATATGAACCATTCGGTATGTTGTCAAAATTGTGTTGGATTATATGGTGTTATTCAAAGGTTATTGAAGAAAAATGTATTCCCGGTAACGCCCTTTTAGTGCCTGTATCTCCGAAAATCGTCGTGAGACAAAGTGGTCTTTCAATAGTAAAAGAAACGTTCTCTGAATGTTTGTCCTATGTCTTGGAAACATTCTGTAAAGTTTAAATTTCAATAATATTTATAGGCTGTCCCTATATTCCGTGGACATAGTAGTACCACGTATTTTTACAAAATAAGTCGATTGGACCTTTGCTTGTCTAGTAGAGGGCATCAGTTTTCTTTTTAAAACATACTTTTCATATATGTTTCGAACCTGTAGTCAGATTTGAACAAAATTTAGTACGCATATGTTTTGCTAGACATTCTAATATTGGGTGATTTTTTTGCTAGTATCTTTTTGGCAACACTGTTTTTGACAGATGACGCGTGAATCGTGTCTTGTGTCATTGTCAAACTTGTTCAGTTTGGTCTATAATTTAACCATGAATCGACTTACGAACGAACAACGCTTGCAAATTATTGAATTTTACTATCAAAATTCATGCTCGGTTAAGAGAGTGCATCGAGCACTGCTTCCAATTTATGGGCAATTTGGTCGGCCTATTGAAGGAGCTATTCGGAAGCTTGTGACTAAATTTCGAACCCAGTTTACATTATTGGACATTAAACCACCAACACGCAGACGTAGAGTGATGCCTGAAGAAAATATTCCTGCTGTATCCGCCAGTGTTAGTGATGACCGTGAAATGTCGATTCGCCGCCGTTCGCAGCAATTGGGTCTCTGTTACTGCACTACGTGGAAAATTTTGCGACAGGATTTGGGTGTAAAACCTTATAAGATACAGCTGGTGCAAGAATTGAAGCCACACAATCTCCCACAACGTTTCCAATTTGGTGAATGGGCGCTGGCAAAGTTGGAGGAAGATCCACATTTTTATCGAAAAATTGTGTTCAGCGACGAAGGTCATTTCTGGTGGAATGGCTACGTTAACAAGCAAAATTGCCACATCTGGAGTGAAGACCAGCCAGAAGCATTGCAAGAGCTACCAATGCATCCCGAAAAAATCACTGTTTGGTGTGGATTATGGGCCGGTGGCATCATCGGGCCGTACTTCTTCAAAGACGACAATGGCCGGAACGTAACTGTGAATGGCGAGCGCTACCGTGCGATGATAACAAACTTTTTTTTGCCCAAAATGGAAGAGCTGGACTTGGCTAACATGTGGTTTCAACAAGACAGTGCCACATGCCATACCGCACAGGAAACAATGGCCCTATTGAGAGGCGAGTTCGGTGAACAGTTTATCTCACGTTTGGGGCCGCCTAGATCGTGTGATTTAACGCCGTTGGACTATTTCTTGTGGGGCCATGTTAAGGCTAATGTCTACAGGGATTAACCAGCAACGATTAACGTACTGGAAGCCAATATTGAAGCATTTATTCGTGAGATACCGGCCGATATGTTGGAGAGAGTGTGCCAAAATTGGACCTTGCGCATGGGCCATCTAAAGCGGAGCCGCGGCCAACATTTACATGAAATAATCTTTAAACATTAAATTATATCGACCGTTCTATCGACTCAAATAAGGATTTAATCGTTATTTCAAATTTTTTGTGATTTTTTGGAAAAACAAATCCTATACCTCTTAAAAAATCACCCGTTATTTGACTTTTACGAAAAACTCTAAAAAGTTCGAGAAGGGTGAAAGATACCCCCACCAATAGTTACATAAATTATAGTAGAATTTTTTACAACTTTCCCGACGACTCTGAGTTACTTTTATTTAGCAGATCATTTTATTTACTTCATTTTTGTCTCATAAAAGCTGGCCATTTCCGATAGTTTTATAGAAAAAAAAAATAGTTGCATCAAGATGTTCCCAAGCGTATTATTCATTCTTTAAGTGTAGTTAGCGATAATTATTATTACAATGTGACTCTTGGAGGTTGGGATCGACCAATTTCTCGGCGTTCTATGCTTGCAAAGGTGTCTCACAATGTGGAATTCGTCGATTCGGATATCTCCCTTGATACATGTGAACACAAAACAAGCAACAACTTAACCAAAAACAATCTCAAACGTTAATTAGTTCAAAATTTATGAAGAACAAACAGCAAATTAATAGTCAAAAATAAACTCTACATTATACTCATTAATTAAGGTCCGTATCGTCAGTCGTCCCTACAATTGTAGGGCGCCTTTATGGCCTCCTTGATTGTCATAGTTTTCTACTTCTCCGTGTCAGAACTCTATTTTGAGGTTATGTCACAAACATCTATTTGCATCAAATTGTGCTTGCTTTTGAGTTATATCATGTTTCATCAGCATGAAATTTCCTACAATTTAAAAAGAAAACATATCTTCACAATAGGAGAGCGCTGACTCTGACACGGGACAAGTGTAATCTAGAAATTTTTGAAGGAGAGAAAGGAGTATGACAATCAAGGAGGCCACTGGCAACATCCCAAATTTCCGCCAACTAGATGCCTACTAGATTTTAACACTTGATGTAATTAAGAACATTTTTTAGAAACCTGTTCCGAAAAGCATTTTTTTTTCTCTCGGAAACTATGATAGGTCGCCTGTTTTTTTAGTAAGTAAATAAAAATATCAGCGCAATAAATAGAATCATAGTTATAGGGAGAGTTGCGAAAAAATTCTGTTACAGTTTTCACCCTTCTTGAACCCTTTCAGTTTTTTTTTGTAAAACTCACGTGTAAAACACACGTGTCCCTGATGTAATTCAAATTGATCTAAGGGTTCCAAAAATATCTGAAAAAAATGTGTTTTAAAAAGGAAACTTTGATCTCTCTAACGGACAAATGAGGCACTCTCGCATAGAATTAAATCACGTCCAATCGACTTATTTTGAGTATAAAAACACGTGGTACATATGTATATGTCCACGGAATATTGGGACACCCTGTAGATGCCTGAGATAGACTGCAAAAGGAGGTGGCTTGGTTAGTACCGTTAAAGGTATTTACTTGTAGACCTGACAGGCAGAGAGTTCTCCGAGAAGCCACAGGTTCCGTTCTCGTTGACAGATGCCACTCTGAACTGGTACCAACTTCCTGCTTTCATGAAGTGCCTCAAGCTGGTGCTAATCTTCCAGGTTTTGGAACAGGCGCGCCACTCTGACAGTTTGTACTCTTTGAACACCTTGCCAGAGTGATGACGTTCTTCTATCAAGTATAAAGTCCGGCCTGGACCTCGAGACGCGGACCATTCTATGTAAACGGTTCGTTTTTTACGTCTTTCGGCTCTCACGTTTGTCGGTACCTCGGGCAAGCCTGAAATAAAAAAAACTTGGGAATAACTACTAACAGTTTCAATGATATCTCGTCTTTAATTATAATATTATAACATCTTTGAGGTCCATATCCCTAAATGTAAAAATAAAATGTTTTCGTATCCCCCATAGTTCACACGTGAAATTATACTTAATATCAAGAAGAAGGACATAGCAAGAAGGAACTGGAAACGTGACGGTACTAAGTTTTCTTATGATCAGTTTAGTAATTTTAGGAAGCTTATTAAGAACCAGATCAGTGTTGCCTACTCCGCTTACGTCCAATGATCCTAGCAAATTCTGGTCATTTGCCCAGATCAAAAAACAGCAATCTAGAATCTCTCCAAGGATGACGCTTAACGGCAATGTCTGCGATACGCCTCAGGATATAGTGGACAGTTTTGCTACCTTCTTTTCAACAGTTTTTATCCCGTCTGGTCTACTAGGGTCATCTCCTCCAACAAATAATTCTACCGATATCATTTCTTTAAAAAATATAAGTGAAGAAAACGTAATTAGGGCTTCGAAAAGGTTAAAGAACAAAATGACGTCTGGATGTGATGGTATTCCAAGTTTTTTCGTTAAAGATTGCATTCATATACTAGCGAGACCGCTGGCTTCCATATTCAACCTGATTCCTAAAATCCTAAAATCAGAGACATATCCAAATATCTGGAAGACCTCTAAAATATGTCCTATTCACAAAAGTGGAGAGATCTCTGATATTTCCAACTATCGCCAAATATCAATCCTGTGCAATTTCAGCAAGTTGTTTGAGATCATCGCTTATGAAACGGTTTTCTGCTCGGTCAGGGGTGCAGTCTCTATTAATCAGCATGGGTTTATGTGAGGCAGATCTACGGTTACCAACTTGGCTCTAATTACTCAGTACATTTCTGAAGTACTGGACGGTCAGGGACAAGTTGATGTCACCTACACAGATATTCAGAAGGCGTTTGATCAAGTTGATCATTATGCACTTCTGGATAAGCTTAAAACAGTCGGTATGTCTGATGCAATGCTGTCGCTCATAAATTCATATTTGAGGGATAGAAGGTTATTTGTCGAATATGGTGGTCATAGGTCGAGTTACTATCGGGCCACGTCCGGGGTACCTCAAGGGTCAAATCTAGGTCCATTATTGTTTTTGATATTTATTAATGACTTGTCTTTTGAACTGAAGTGTTTCCATTTGTTTTTCGCTGATGACCTTAAAATCTGCACGTCAGTCAAGACAGTCTCAGTCTGAATGTTTCGAAATGTAAAGTTATGACTTATACAAGAAAGGTTAACTGTTTAATTTATGATAATTATGACATCCATGGTCAGGTTATAGACAGATGCAATTCTTATAGAGACCTTGGAGTTATTTTTGATACCAACTTACGTTTACTGAGCATATACTCAATATCTCGTCGGCTGCCATTCGACTACTTGGTTTCTGTATCAGAAACTGGAAGGATTTCTCCAATGTTGATACATTAATGACTTTATTTTTTACTTTTGTCAGGAGCAAGTTGGAGTATGCGACTCTGATCTGGTCTCCTATATACCAAAATTCTGTCGTGATCCTTGAGGCCATTCAACGTAAAGCTTTAGAGTATTTTCAACTTAAATGCACAGGTTCTTATCCAGAAAGAGGTTGTGACCATAGTGCCCTATTAGAGTTTTTCAATTTGGAATCACTGTCAACAAGACGAAACATATTTGCTTTGTCGTTTTTGTATGACCTCATTCACAATAAAATTGACTGTCAAAATTTACTTGAAAAAATATGTTTCCGCGTTCCAAGGCTAGGGAGTCGACAACAAACGGCATTCTATTGTCAAGCTGGCCGTACAAATGTTATGACAAAATCGCCAATTAATCTCATGTACTGCGTCATGAACAGTGTTACTGAATTGTGTGATATTTACAGTGATAGTTGTGCATCGATTATTGACTGCTATAGATCATCCAATCTTATTTAGAATGTGTGATACTATAGATTTAAGTCCAAGAAACATGTCTCTTTAATTGTTATGTTTTTCAGCATTTCCTGTAATTGGGTTTCACCTGTTGGAAATAAATAAATAAATTGTTAGATTTTATGATGTTTATCTCTATAATTGGGACTCATTAGCCGGTATCAACGAGACAAAATAATTTCGTATGGAACACTGAGCAAACGTGGTCAATTAGACAGTTGTACTTGAAAATATTCATTACCCGTAATGATTTTTGTTTTAATTATTCTAAATAACTATATTAATCGGTTTAATTAAACTGCATTTTCTGGAATCAATTTAATATACTATTAAACTAATTTGCTTGAAAATAGCAAGCAATGTACCTGTCTTATCAAACTGGTTAATTGGTCCAAGGTAATTTAGTTTATGTAGAAAAGGTACATTAAATACAATTAAATATTTTTATTAAAACAATTAAACTGTTTATTTGAACGGCAGACTAAGCAGGACTCGGCCCTTCATTCGAAACCTTAGCAAGAGTTTCCGGTACACTGTGCCCTACCTGATAACACACCGTTAATAGAAAATCCTGTTTCACAAAAAAATCTCTACGGACAACCAAATGACTCGAACGAGTTCAAACTGGTACCGATTTCGCATGACCAGTGTTGCCAGATCTAAGGCTGCGTTGCCAGTCTCATTACTTAATTTACGGACCTCGTATATACAGCCTCCTATTGGTGCAGACTTCGTGGCATTTGAAAACAACCTATTTCGTCTAAAGTGATGTCGAATTTATTTATATATGTAAATGCGTCGATGCGGCGTAGTGCAGTATTGTTAAAAATAAAAGTACTATTTTGAATTGCTTCTAGTGAATGGTGATGCAGTATATATAGTATAAATGAAAATAAAATAAATCGAATTTTGTTTTGATTCAATTTTATCAGATATCAATATACTGTATACTTCGATTCCGTAGATTGGTCAGGGCACTGATATAATATACATCATTTAGCAAAATGCAATTTGTTCATTTAAATTTCAAATGATTTCCAAATATTCTTTTAAATCTATACTAAGTGACATATAAATCCGAACACCCAGTGTAAATGGTTTTATTTTAATAAAAGTTGGTGAATGTATTTATCTTACTGTAAATAACAAGTGAAAAAATTTTCAGCCTTATCAGTTGGACATTCCGGTTTTTATACTGCTTTTTTTTAATTAACTAACGCTCTAAAAATGAATATTTCAGCCGCAGTAAAGAATCAACGTTGGCGGATTTTGGTTTTTGACATCCTTTACGATCGGTTACGATGCCTAGAGTACGGAGACCTGTACGATTTCGTCAACTTAGTGAGTTTGATAGGGGCCGTATAGTGGGACTTCGGGAAGCTGGACTTTCTTTTCGGGCAATTGCAGTTAGAGTGCAAAGAAGTGTAGACACTGTGGTTAGGTGTTGTCAGGCATGGCTTCGAGAAGGCCGTACGCAAAGAGCAAGGGGCACTGGACGCCGCCGTAGAACAACAGACCGTGAAGATCGCCGCCTAAGATTATTGGCCTTAAGGGACCGTTTCTCCACTACCAGGTCCATTGCAAATGAATGGTTTGCAGAACACGGAAGACCTATTGGCATGCGAAGTGTTTACCGACGAATGAGAAGTTTTGGCTTGTTTTCATACCGGCCACACTGGGTCCTCCCTTTAACTCGAGAACACTGACGTAATCGCCTTGAGTGGTGCAGACAACGGTCACTCTGGGATCAGGAATGGAACAGTATTGTCTTTAGTGACGAGTCTCGATTTTGTTTAGGCATGCACGACGGTGGTGCCAGGGCTAGAAGGCGACGTGGTGAAAGGAGGAATCCACAGTTTTTTGTTGAAAGACATGTTCATCACACTGTTGAAGTTATGGTTTGGGGTGCTATAGCTTATGGTTCCAGGTCACCTTTAATCTTCATCAGAGGTAACATGAATGAGCAGCGTTATATCCACGAAGTTCTAGAACCCCATCTTTTACCCTATCTTGACACCCTGGCAGATCCAACTTTCCAACAAGATAATGCCCGACCACATGTTGCAAGAGTCACAATAGACTTTTTTCAACATAATGATGTCACATTGTTACCAAGGCCACCAAGATCTCCCGACTTATCCCCAATTGATCACGAGTGGGATATGATGGGTAGGAGATTGCTCAATTTGCAACGTCCTCCTCAGACTCTAGAAGCACTTCGAGAGGAGTTGGTGGTTGCCTGGAATGAGATACCACATTAGGACATTGACCACCTGATCAGAAGCATGCCTAGGCGCGTTGGAGAATGCGTAGCAATCATTTTGAAATTTTTATCATTTACTTATTATGCTTCATTAAGTACTTATACAAAATTTTATTAAAATAAAACTATTTAAACTGGGTGTTCGGATTTATATGTCACTTAGTATAAATAAAATAATTCATTAAGACTAGGCAAACGCTATTCCCTAAACTAATTAAACAAATTTAAGAAATACTATCAAAATGTTTTATTCTTGCTTATTTTAATAGCTCATTAATTTTAAATAATCTACTGTACCCAGTTTAAGTAAACGGATTAATAAATTTATTTAAATGGTTGCGTTTTCTCTCATTTAAACTAGTTTTTATAAACTCAAGTAAACTGTTTTAGAAAACGGAGTTTAATTAAACTAATTAAACTTGTTAGCTGTCACATAGTTGATTAAATTTTTTAATTCTCGTAATTAACATTTCAATTGGTTAGATTGAATGTTGTTCTCAGTGTACATTTCAATGTTTCTTAACGAGTCATTCTAGAAATAAAACAACTGCCATTTCAAACCAGCCTAGTCATAAAACTCGTTAAATGAAAGACATATACTAAGTGACATATAAATCCGAACACCTAGTTTATTTTAATAAAAGTTGGTGAATGTATTTATCTTACTGTAAATAACAAGTGAAAAAATTTTCAGCCTTATCAGCTGGACATTCCGGTTTTTATACTGCTTTTTTTAACTCACTAACGCTCTAAAATGAATATTTCAGCCGC